AGTAATTCTTAATCTAAACTTAGAGCTTGGGAAATTACAATGATTTTCTTATTACAAAATTGTTAAGGGAAGCCGAAAGAAAATCACAAAAATGCATACACTTACAAGGGGACTCTTGAGCATGGTGCTCTCTTTCATCGGACCTTTGATTTATCACTATTTGGCTTTTCGGATTCTGCTTGAGCAAGTACTATTGATGATAGTCAAGGTGTTCTATGTTGGCGAGTCCTTATTTAGTTAGGATTTTGGTTACTATGTTCTGCCTTACCTACTATAATGCTCACAGGGTGTCTGTGTTCTGCTTTTATGTGTTCTTTTATGTTCCCTATTTGTTAAGGTTTGTCAGTTGTTTCACTCGTGGTTTATGACAAAACCTTCTCTACAGTTGTTCGATTGGTCAATGTCGAGTATGGTGTTCTATGACTTGCTTGTCAAGTTGGGCATGCGAAATATCTTTGCCCCAACTTGAGGGGGAGTGTTGGCAAGTCCTTATTTAGTTAGGATTTTGGTTCCTTATTTATTTAGTCCTATTATAAATGGGATTTATTTCTTATTGTAATTTAGATATATTTCCTATTTTATTTAGGGTTAACACATCTTTGTACTTATATAAATACCTCCATATTGGAGAATAATAAAAATATAAGCATATATGAGCATAATTGAATATTTGCCCTACTCACACGCACTTGTTATGTTCATTTTACTCATCAGTTGGCCAATGTTGGAGAACAATCAGAATATAACCAAATAACATAATAAAAACAATACGAAATGTATTCTGTATACATAATCAAATCAATATAGCAATAGAATGAATTACAAAATACTGCTTGGATAGATGGTAAAGTCCTGTAGAGTTGCAGTGTTCTTTAAACAATACTTCTCCTCTACCCTTGTGCTTGTAGTTCAATAGGAGTCCATCCATCAGGACTAAACTATCACAAATCAAAGTCTAAGCACTATGGCTTTGATTTCTAGCGAACAGCAAATTCTATATCTTCTGGTTTGGACGAATTGTCAATATATAAAGGTCTGATACCTCTTTATCCAACAGTTATAATAAATGTTTAAACATATTTGAATTTCATATAATGATTTTATCTGAAAACGAATTTCTAATTAATAAAAAGAAATATTAATTAAATCAACAGAGCCCCAAGGCCCATCTTTTCACAATTAAATATATATATATATTTATTAGTCATATATATATATATATATATATTCCAAGTCCAAACCAAATTGAGACCCAACTTTGTCTCCACTAGGCCCATATCCTATTTAAAGCTTCTAAAGTATTAATGCTTATAAACCATGAAAGAAAATAACTCTCGGAATGCGGGTAATAACAACAGACACCTGCCCTAGCAAGGGTAATTACTATAGGACACAGTGAGTCACGGACCAATCTCATAGTCAAAAGTAGCACACCAATGCAGCTTAAATGCTAAGATCCCATCATCAGTAGAAATAATCTATAAGTCGAGTAATTGATGTTCTTTTTTCCAAATTACTTAGGTCAGCAGCTATACAATAATTAGGCAAGAGTTCACTTGGTGACATAAGAAATGTTTAGGTCGGCAGCTATACAATACTTAGGGCGGCAGCTGTGTACAATATTTATACAATATCAAAGCCGACGGAACATAAGTTTCTTATGTTGCAAAACAATTTGATACCAAGAACCTTTAACATAGTTCAATATCCATATCATGAATCGTGTGGGAGAGAAAAAATTGCATCAAATAAAAATTAAAGAAGTAAAACAAGAGGGGGACTAGTTCAATCATATCTCATCTCATATACATTCACAGTACATTGCATATGGCCATTTGACATTGGACCAATGTGCATATACAAAGCATTTTGCAGGTGCTTACTAGTGGTGGTAGGGAAACTAAATTATTTGTATTCAAAGAGTTATATGCATGTGCACTTGAGTGTAAGGGTACGTGTATTTGATTGTCATTATGCAATACTTGAAAACGATAGAAAATGCGTTTTTCTTGTGGGTATATGAGATTTTATTATGAGATGGCCTATAACGTTAATTTCAACTCTAATAAGCTATCCAAACAGTTAAAATTGACATTAATTTGCATGACGTGAGACGGCCGCCTAGAACTATATGATACTATTTTATTTTAAGTTCGAACTCTAGAATCATTAGCCTCAATTGAGTCAGTAAATACCAAGTTTTCAACAAAAACATAACCAGAGAGAAGTATATATCCAAACCGGAAAAGCTTTTTAACTAACAGTAGTCAACACCATTGGTAAAACTGATTAGTTGTTTGGTAAACCTTTTTTCAAATTAAACAAATGCCTTTATAGATGAAGCAATAGATAGAAATATCATAATGTAGTACATCAGATAGCTAAAGAGGTCCATCTTCAAGTCATACGTGAAAATCAGAAAACAAAATTGCAGTGCATTCTTCGAAGGGTATATACTGACAATGGCAAATTACAGAAAATTAAAAGGAAAAATGCGATCTTGATTCCTCCACAAAAGCTCCCCCTTTAAACATAATTTTTTTTATAAAAAATATACATTTGAAAAGGAAATTTAGGGTTATACATATTTGAAAACGAAAAAAGAAATTTGGGTAACTTTTGAAAGTGGAGGGGACCAATTTTCACATGGCAATATGCAATTTACACTACTAAACAACTTGGTGGAAACAAAACTGTTCAAATCGAAGGATGCTTTGTTAGAAGCTGTCAGCCCTTTTTATTTTACCATGTCACGACTTCAATGTGGTCCACCTGTGCCTTTCTCGTTGTCCAATCTTCAATCATTCAAATTAGTAAGACAGACACATGCCGATTAAATAGTAACCCTCTTGGTCTCTATAAATAGTAGCTCCACTCCTCGCTGCAAAGATGTGCATGCATTTGTGTTGTGCTTGTTGCAAATTTGATCTCTCCTTAAATTCCTAGCTATATAGGCAAGTTTCTTGAAAACTTACACGGTTAGGCCAAAATATAATCTCTTTATACTATGTCTTTAGACTTTAGCTTACTTGATTTACACTTTTGCTTTTATAAACTGCATGCCATGCATTTGACGAACTATTCTGAATGTTACTCTCCAATTATATGTATGCATTTTTTGTGAGTGAATTTTGCAAGTTTTGATTCAAATAACTTTTCGTTTTGAAATTAAGGAACGATTCGAAATTGAAACCCCTTTATGCCAAACCAAAAGGATTTTCGACTATATTTGTAAAACTTGTGAACTTCATTTTATATGTGTGTACTTGTTAAGTATTGTTAGTGAATGGAGCTTTCGTTATGCATGCATGAGTAGTGCTAGAGTACTGCTAGTCTTTCATTAGAAGCCTAAACTAGTTTTAATTAACTTGAAATGAAAAACACCCATTTAATTAAGAGACAAACTACTTGCCCAATATTTTTTTAAAATAAAACCTAGCGAACGTTAAGAGGAACAACTTATATATATGTACACACAAATATATTTATATATATTGAATATTTTCTTCTAACTAAAGTTCTTTGAATATGCAGAAAAGAAAGTAGGCAATGGCTAGCCAATTGGCCCTCCAACGACTCAAGAATCTCCTCAGGTACTCTTTATTATTATTTTATTTTAATTTTTGTAGATTCCTACGATTGACCTTTACACACAACGTAGAAAGAAAATACACTCAAAGATGTTATTGAGCTCAATTAATTGAGCTATACTGCACTGATTAAGTTCTTTTTTGTTTTGAGTAACAATAGCATCATGTACAAGAAATTCTTCAACATTTCCGTGACATGTTGTATATCTTTAATTTATAAATTATAACCAAGTGTTCATAGACTACAAATGATAATTCAGCCACCAAAATTTAGAAAAAAAAATTCATGGCTAAATATAATATTTGGCTACAAAATCTTTTCCAAAACCGTGTGCTTAATTTATAGTAGAACAATATATGCAAAATTTGACAATTTTGGTTGGTATATATGGTTGCAGTGAGAAGGGAGAGCTGGACGATGTGGCTGCTGCCAAAATTGAGAAGTTGACGGCTGAGTTGGAAAAACCTGGTGATTTTAACCCAGTTCGAAGGATTGTAGATGGCTTCATCCACTTCAGGATCAACAAATTCGAGTAAAAATAGATCGGATATATTTTTCAAACGTTAAATCATATATGAATGATTAAATTCGTGAAAAGCATCTCAACCGCTGCCACAATTCAGAAAAAAAAATCATCATTGAAGGACTTTATGTTGAAGAACATATAAAGTCTAACATCGAAACTTTGACAAATAAAGTATAACATATGATGAATTGTTCCATTACGAATAATATTGAGACTTTTGTAATAAAACTTTACACGTATTGAATTTTATAATATTAGTGTTGGTAGTAGTAGTGTCTTATATCCAAAGGACAAAATATAATAATATTTTTCATTGTTTCTTAACTATCTTTTTGGGCTGATCTTGCAGAAAACATCCAGACTGTTTCAATGAGCTTGCTGAAGGACAAAGCCCCAAGGTACAATTTGGGCTTCACTAGATTAGGTCCAGCATCTTAAAATTAATTAGTATATAGCTTAATAACATAATAATAAATTTTATGTTTTGTTTCAATGCAGTTTCTGGTATTTGCATGCTCGGACTCCCGAGTAAGCCCCTCACATATCCTTAATTTCCAACCTGGGGAGGCCTTCATGGTTCGCAACATTGCTAACATGGTTCCTGCTTTTAACCAGGTTCAATACTCTCTCTCTCTCTCTCTCCACCTCAAGTGATTAGTTATTCTAATCAAACTATACATAATTTTTAGCTAAAATAAGTTCGTTCATATGGCTTGCAGCTAAAATACGTAGGAGTTGGAGCGACCATTGAATATGCTATAACAGCACTTGGGGTGAATATTCCAAAAACTTTAGATTTAATTAATTATTAATTACTAGGTATTTTCTCTTCACTTCTTATTACAATATTTATGAATGATAACAAGAGAAGAAAATTTGCCAGGTAGAAAACATTTTGGTCATTGGACACAGTCGTTGTGGAGGGATCAAGAGGCTTATGACTCATCCGGAGGATGGTTCTATTCCCTTGTAAGTTTAGCTTGTGGAAGATTCATAATCGTTTATGAGGATGAAATGCTTTTGTTCATTACCAATTTTTTAATGTTTAATAACGCCAATACTAAAAAAATTCAAAGAGCACAGGCATTTGTATCTACAAAACATAGAGTTTGTATTAGCACTTTTTTGTGCACAATATGCTATACGACACTCCTCTAAAATATTGGCCACAAAGAGTGTCAATACAAACTCTACGTGTAGACACAGCTCCATCTACCTATATTTTTAGTAGTGTGGTTTGTTCCAAACACATGAAAGATTCTATTGCTTCTTCAAAAACCACTAACAGTGCTATTCTTGTATATTTTAGTCAAACTCTATAAATGCCCCTCTTTTTTTGTTAGCGTGGTGAAAAGTATTTCAAAGGCCAACCCAATCAACTAAGCAATGAAAAACTTTATTAGCAAAAGGGAGCACAAATTATAATAACTTGCTGATGGTATACTTGCGTCCATTTTTATTGGAATTTGCAGTGACTTCATAGATGAATGGGTTAAAATTGGTCTACCAGCCAAGGCTAAGGTTATAGCAAATGGACTGGGTGGGCATGATATTGATGAACAATGTGAAGCTTGTGCAAGGGTAAGCTAATTATGTAGCACCAACTCTTTTATACTTTTCCATCTTTAACTCAATGGTAAATTTACAAGGCATATATACATTGCACACTCGGTTCAGTTCTCCATGATTGAAGTAAATCTCACTCAGCATCTTCTTGAACAATGATTTTATGCAGGAATCAGTAAATTTATCACTGGTAAACCTGCAAAGTTATCCATACGTTCAAAAGGCGATTTCTGACAGAAAGCTAGCACTCCGGGGTGGTTACTATGACTTTGTCCATGGAGTTTTCGAGCTCTGGGAGCTTGAATCACACATTTCACCCCCCATCATTATACCAGCACCTTAATTGCTAGTTACATGAAGCATCGTCGAGGTGTATATGTGCCTCTGCCAATAAAAGTGAATATGTATAAATAAAGCAGATGAGGCCCTATAGTGGTACTGCTTCGTCTTGTATCAGTTTCTCGGTTGGTTCTTTTGTCAATGTTTGTGTAATGTTGCTTGTTTTCTTTAGTTGAATTAAGAACTTCGTGTCCCCTTTGTAATTTCCAGGAAACTGTGTAATAATTATTAGCAGCTATTATCTGCTGCCCTCTATATGATATTTGTTTGGCATGCTTAGTTGAATTGTCGTTTCTTTCTTATTGGGTTTAGAAGCAGCTCTTAGGCAACTACAAATCTGTAATTGATTCATCCCTAATTTCAGCACGCTCAAATAAAGATTCATCCACTTCGCTCAAATAACTGTTCATCCACTTCTCTGCTAATGCTATCCCACCTCGCCTATTAGAGAATAAGAAACTCTTAATTTAGTGATACTTCTTTTCCTAAAGTTGAAAGACATTTCAAATTTGAACCCTGTCTTCACTAATATAAAAATAATAAATAAATAAGTAAATAATTAACTGGTGATATAATCAAATTTGATGTAAAAAGCTAGTAACTAACACGCCTCCCGTTTTTTGGGCTTAATTCCGGTTTTACCCCCTAAGCTCGAATGTAGATACTAATTTACCCTCTGGAACTCAAAAGATCACACACCCTCTAGAACCTTACTCTATATTCCAGTTTACTATTTTCGTCCTCAAAACCGTTAAGTTGCTGATGTGGCATGAACATTATGATAATTTTAGCTATTAGTTTAAAATATATTTAATGTTATAAATCCATATGTTATGGGTTTATAGGTTATGGATGCCCACAATAATAGCCACTATTAACCTATCATAATACCCATCATTATATACTTGTAACCTACCAATTATGGTTGGTAAATGATTCAGGCCTCTCTACCCCTATAAATAGTGGATCCAAATATGAATGGAATACATGTTGATTTGAGCAAATTATACTGCCTCTTTCTTCCTCTTATTGCTTCTTACAAATTCCATAGTTTCACAACACGTTATCAGCACGAAAGCTCTTGGTAACGTTTTTCTCTATAGCTTACGTTCATCCATATATATTTTTTCTTTTATCTACAAAAATCAATGACGGCTGATTTTTGTTTTTAAATCATGTTTTTGACATGATTTAAATTGCCGAGAGTATCACCTAATTTAAAGTCTGTATGCTTATGGGTCCTCCAATGAATGCATGAACATGTAGTTTTTTGTTGTTGTTGTTATATGACCACTATTAATTGAAAACTTGTATGCATGCATGTTGTAGCTATTTAAAACACGAGTAGTATGCAATTTATTTATTTATTTATTTTCTTTATTTTCTACTTTGAAGTTTTTATTTTATTTTATTAAACACAATATGTTATGATGAGTTTTCTTTTTCTTTTTAACAAGAGATCAGTGCCTGAAGTTCCTAGATCCTCATAATAGATAAGGACCTGAAGTTCTTTTATCAAATCAAAACCTAAGTTTCTATGATTCAAAATAATTGAAGGTATGAAGTTCCTCAATTCTAATTGTCTAAACATCCCAAACCAGAAGTTTTGGTGATTATATTTATGTTTTACTAAATCAACAATTTTTCTTGAGCTCTAACATATTCCAAGCCTCAATCAAGGGCAAAAAAAAAGGTTGAGACATATTGGATGGATGCTGATCCAACAGAGTTAGAACCAGTGGATGCAACTCATCTTGATGTTTCAGACTTCTTTGTTGATATTGATGGCAAATCTTTTGATCCTATGATTGGTGGTGGGATGCTCCCCAATTAATTTTGTTGTATTTTTTTTTTCTTCGCTTTATGTTGTTTGAGCTAAGTTTATTTCATGTTTATTTTTCTTTTTCCTTTTCACATGTTAGTTTGGATCTTTTCATTGAATAAAAGACTTTATTTGCATTTTTTTATTTGCATTTGTTTTCCGAATAACATTTATATATATATATATATATTCTTATAAATTTGAAGGCATGGAAAACAATCATGAATGCTCTCGTTTTGGGAGAAATGACGAAGATATTTGTCTTGCGGATAGTGCAACTACGCACACAATTCTTTGAGATAAAAATATTTTGACAATTTACATTTATCAAAAGCAAAGGTAACTACCATACTAGGTTCTGCAAACCTACTTGACGGCTCTGGAAGAGCTTAAATTTTGTTACCCAATGGGACCCAATTCTCCATTAATAATGCTTTGTACTCTTTGAGATCGAGAAGAAATTTACTTAGCTTCAACGACATTCGAATGAACGGATACCATATTGAAACTAGAAAGGATCACAATGTGGAGCATCTTTGCATTACCACCAATATCAACAGCCAGAGGCGTATATTAGAAACACTTCCTGCTTTCTCTTCTGGGTTGTATTATGCAACCATCAAAGCAGTTGAAGTTCATGCTATCACGAACCAGAAGTTCATTGACTCAACGACTTTCATGCTTTGGCATGATCCTCTTGGGCATCTTGGATCCACAATGATGCGTAGGATTATTTCAAATTCAAATGGACATCCTTTAAAGCCTTACCATAGTACTTTTTCAAATGGACATCCTTTAAAGCCTTACCATAGTACTTTGTCCATTGACCAATCTTGCAAAGCTTGCTTCCAAGGGAAATTGATCATCAAACCATCTCTGTCAAAACTTGGCTTTGAATGTCCATCTTTCTTACAGAGAATTCAAGGGGATATTTGTGGGCCAATTCACCCATCTTATGGACCATTTCGTTATTTTATGGTTTTAATCGATGCATCTACAAGATGGTCACACATTTGCCTATTGTCAACTCGCAATGTTGCTTTTGCTAGGCTCCTTGCTCAAATAATTAAATTACGAGCACAATTCCCTGATTATCCAATAAAGTCAATTCGACTTGATAACGCTGGTGAGTTTACCTCCCAAACTTTTGATGCCTATTGCATGTCACTTGGGATTGATGTTGAGCACCCAATTCCCCACGTCCATACTCAAAATGGATTAGCATAAGCTTTTATTAAGCGTCTCCAATTCATTGCTCACACTTTGCTATTGAAGACAAAGTTGCCAACTTCTTCTTGGGGACATAAAATTTTACATAGAGCAATTTTAGTCCGCTTAAGGCCCGTTTCCCAACACCAATTCTCCCCTTTACAACTTGCCTTTGGGAGACAACCCAATATATCACATTTAAGGGTTTTTGGTTGTGCAGTTTTATGTGCCAATTGCACCCCCACAACGCACTAAAATGTGTCCTCAACGTCGATTGGAAATATACATTGGTTTTGATTCACCAACTATCATTCGCTATCTCGAAACTATGACAGGAGTTACTTTTACAGCACGCTTTGCAGACTGTCACTATGATGAGACATTCTTCCCGCCATTAGGGGGAGAAAAGACTGTTCCTGAAGAAAGGCGTGAATTAAGTTGGAACATATCCATTATGTCTCATCTTGACCCATGTACAACTCAAAGTGAAAATGAAGTACGAAAGATTGTCCACCTTCAGCAAATTGCTAATCAAATGCTAAATGCATTCACTGACATAAGAAAAGTGACAAAATCACATATACATGCAGCAAATACACCAACAAAGATTGATATCCCAATCGGATTAACCAATGTTGCAGCAAATTAATCATCTACTGCATGCCTGAAGCGAGGTAGACCCATTGGTTCGAAGGACTCAACTCCTAGAAAGCGAAAATCAAAAGCATATTCCAACCCCAATGAAAACGCTCATGAAGATAGTATTGGGCAAGAGATTGACTTTGAATCTACAATTCATCCATAGAGTGAAAGTGTCATTGAAAAGACACAAGCCACTGAAGAGGAAAAGATACCTAATACAGAAATTTCTATAAATTTCGCATGCAATGATGAATTGTGGGACCATAGTGAAATGGTTATCGATGATATTTTTTCTTTCGCAGTAGCTATTGAAATTATAAAAGGTCATGAAGATATTGAACCACGATCTGTTGATGAATGCAAAGAGAAACCTGATTGGCCAAAGTGGAAAGACGCAATCCAAGTTGAATTAAATTCCTTGGAAAAACGTGGTGTATTCGGACCTGTGGTTCAAACACCGCAAGGTGTAAAACTTGTGGGATACAAATGGGTGTTCACGAGAAAGCGTAATGAGAAAAATGAGATTGCAAGGTATAAGGCACGACTCGTTGTGCAAGGTTTTTCTCAAAGGCATGGGATTGATTATGAAGAAACATATTCTCCTATTATGGATGCAATTACGTTCCGTTATTTAATAAGTCTTGCAGTTTCAGAAAAACTTGACATGCGTCTTATGGACGTTGTTACTGCATACTTGTATGGGGAGTTATAGGCCAATATTTATATGAAACTCTCAAAAGGACTGAAGTTGGCAAAATCAAACACTAAATCAAGGAACATGTACTCCATTAAGTTGAGACGTTCACTATATGATTAAGGAAGGCTACATTAATGATCACATATGCCCTTGTGTTTTTATAAAGATATCAAATTCTGAATTTGCAATCGTAGCAGTGTATGTTGATGACATGAACTTAATTGGAACTCCTAAAGAGATCATTAAAACTGCTGAATATTTAAAGTGTGAATTTGAGAAGAAAGAGCTTGGAAAAACTAAATATTGTTTGGGCTTGTAGATCGAGCATCATCCCAATGGTATTCTTGTCCATTAATCAGCTTACACTATAAATAAAAATTTGAAGCGATTTTATATGGATAATGCCCACTCGGTTGAGCACTCCAATGGTAGTTTGTCCATTAGACACAAATAAAGATTCATTCCGTCCTAAAGAGGATGATGAAATGATACTTGGTCCAGAAGTTGTTGCCTGCGCAAATCTCACAGCCTAGTGCTCCGGGCCGAAGGGATGTGCGTTAACACGTGACGTCTTTCTTTTGGATGCGGTGCGGTTGTGCGCGGGCGTGCTAGCACGGTTTACCGTGCGTCGAGATGGTGATGAGGTTTGGGTAGAAGATGGTTAAATGATGCGCCTATTTTGAGTTCGACTCCTAATCAAACGATTGTGGCCGAGAGAGGAACTGATCTCGGCCGTCAAGTTCACAGCTTGAGCTACAAGGCCGTTTAGTGGTGGTGTTGGTGGCAGGGTTTTAGGCGGTGCTCCGGCATGTTGCTCAGAGAGCGACGGTTGTATGATATATGGGGTGAATGAGATGATAACAGAGATGGTGCTCCGGCGCCTTGAAAATCAAGGGTCGTATGATATATTGATGAATGGATTTTCCTTACAATCTACCACTACTCCTAGGAAAGCAAATAAAGGTAGTGAAAATGCATTACATGAAAATATAATTTGCTCCGTGGGAGGCTTTTGGTTTGGTGTTTGAAGCCCTTGAATGTAGTCTTGAGCTTAGTATTTATAGAGGGAGTCCTGGAGGGACAATCGAGGCTGAAAAGATCTGCGTTGTGGAGCCTGATCGGGGCAAGTGGTGTGACCCCCATAAATCCCGGTAAATCTCGGCCACCGCCCTGATCGTAGGTTCTGCCCCTTTGGCCGTGGGAACGCATTTAATGCCCTGGTCTGGTGATTGGTGATCTGACCTCAAGTTGTAAGATTACTTGTGAGAATGTTTGCGCCTAACCACTCTGATTTCCATCACCAAATCCTGACTTCAGTCACTTCCCTTCTTCCCTCGTGCATTAAATGCTTCTTGCGACTAGTGGGTTTGCTACGATAGTCAGAGGCTTTAAAAAAATATATATAATTTGGCATAAGTCCAATTCTTATGAGACATGCTAAGTGCAATCCACGTAGAAGTTGTTGGATCCAAGTCTGATTTTTGAAGCACATAAGTTACCTCTAATCTGGGTAATTAAACCCAAAAGCCAGCTTTTGTGCACATAATTATACCCATAAATTGCCTCTAGTCCAAGTAATTTAACTCATGTAATACCTTTGGTATGGAACTTTAAAATCATAATTAAAATTAAAAAAAATTACCTATCTAAAAGGTTACAGAAAAAGGAAAAAAGAAACTCACGCCTTTACAACATGTATACTCAAACTTTATATATATATTGGTCGAAACAAACTTGATATATTGAGATAAAAATCTATAAAAATTGCTTTGGAAACTCCAGAAAAAAAAATTATATATATATAAAGGAAATTCGCGAAAAAAAAATTGTTGAAGACAACTCAAGAAAAAAACTATCACCTGTAACACAGATACATATATACAGGAAAACACATTACATATATACATACATATATATATATATGGAAACGCAGAGAGGATAGTAGAAATATATATATAGGAAACTCCATAAAAATAAAATAAAAATTGCTTAAGAAAACTTAAGAAAAAACCTATTACATGTTAGGCATGTACATATAGATACAAGTAAACACATTATATATGTATAAGGAAATGCATTTTATATGTACGTGTATATATATATATATATAGGGTCAGGATTGGGGAACACACAAAGCCATAAATTTTGACACACTTTTTCAAACGTTGGATCATCTACCATCTAATGGCTGAGAATGCACATGAGAAATTAAAAAATTAACTTGGTGCACGTTCTACGAGGTATATTCAATAGCTCTGAAGCCTCCTCCTCCTTTCGTCTCTCATCATTTTCTCACTCCAAACATTTCCCACTTCACTTCTTTATGGAAAATTTTTCATAAAAAAATATCAAGAAGTTTCAAAACATTCCTCATAAAGAAATTCAGTTTTTAGCGTGGTGATTGACTATGCAACTCACAACAAATGATGAAAGACTTTATGGTGTTAACACCTCAAGGAAAGAAAAGAACAGATAGAGAAACATTGAAGTCTTTGTTTTTGCAGGGGAAGGGGATTGGAAATCTTCATACAATCTGCATATCAATTTCTCCTTTTTCTTTTTTCTTTTTGTTGAGACTTTGACAAATCTCACTAATCTAAAAAAATATTGTTAGAATGTTTTTTTTTTTTGGGGTTTGATTCAAATCTTATATGGTTAGCTTTAAAGAAATTAATTTCAATGAAGTGAGTTTTCATTTAGGTTCTATATCATAATATTACAAACAAAAAATGAAGGCTTCTTTCCCATATCGGAACTCCATCAAGAAAATTTATATATATTTTTTAAATTATTAAATAGATGAATCATTTCCGGTTGCATTGTTATGAACCAAAATTTGTATAGGAGAGGAGGCCCATATTGTTGGAGTTGTTCAGGTTTCAATTCCAGATTAAGAGGGATAGGAGGAGATGAGAGTTTTGCATATGCCTCTGGGAAGTGATTAGATTCATATACTTGCATATGAGGTTTTTCATACTTCCACCAAAGTTTAATGAGAAAGAAGATGGATATAGGAGGGTTTGATGAAGAGAAGAGTTTTTTGGGGCAAGGAAAAAGAAAAGAGAAGTAAAAGAGGTGGAGAGATGAACACTGCGATGAGTAAACATCTAAAGGCTATAATCGTGTGGGCACCTTCTACAGTGCACCAGGTGCACCCATGCACCACGTGTCCTTTATGATGCTCCTAGATTTTAAAAAAAATTGGTTACCGGTTATACAAGTTATCAAGTTTCCACTTTTTGAAAATGCAATTGCATAAGGGTCATGCAATTATGCCCTTCCTATTTGGCAATTGGCATATGATTGGATAGTGATTTACAGTAGTTTGGATATGAGAGTACCATAACATTGTAAGAGGATCCTAAAACTTATAAGTTACAAGATTTGGGTAATGATTTACAAGTTTTTGAACCAGGATTATAACATTAGGGTTCACCTAATCCATAATGTTGTAATACCCATTTACAAGGATATGAATCCGCATTACAAGGAATTGGTAACTTCATACCATGAGGATGTAAATTGGGTACTTATTATAGTAAAATGAGAGTTTACAAGAATAAGGGCCGATTTTACAATTTTGGGATACGAGGGTACCATAACCTTGTAAGAAGGATCCAAAAATATGTAAGTTACACGATTTGGGTAGTGATTTACAAGTTTTTGTACCACGATTACAACGTTAGGGTTCTCATAATCCTTAATGTTGTAAATTCTTATTTTACAAGGATATGGATCCACATTACAAGGAATTGGTAACTCTGGACCATGAGGATGTAAATTGGGTCCTTATTCTAGTAAAATGAGGGTTTACAAGACTAAGGACCGATTTTACAATTTTGGGATACAAGGGTACCATAACCTTGTAAGGAGGATCCAAAAACATATAAGTTATACGATTTGGGTAGTGATTTACAAGTTTGTGTACCACGATTACAATGTTGGGGTTCTCATAATCCTTAATGTTGTAAATTTTTATTCTACAAGGATATGGATCCACATTATAAGGAATTGGTAAGTGCGGACCATGAGGATATAAATTACGTCCTTATTCTAGTAAAATAAGGGTTTACAAGATTAAGGGCTGATTTTACAATTTTGGGATACAACGGTACCATAATGTTGCAAAGAGGATCCATAAACATGTAGGTTACACAATTTGGGTAGTGATTTACAGGTTTTTGCACCATGATTACAACATTAGGGTTCTCATAATCTTTAACGTTGTAAATCCTTATTTTACAAGGATATGGATCCAAATTATAAAGAATAGGTAAGTTTGGACCACAAGGATGTAAATTAGGTCATTATTCTAGTAAAATAAAAGTTTACAAGATTAAGGGCTGATCTTACAATTTTGGGATACGAGGGTACCAAAACGTTGTAAAATGGATCCATAAACATATAAGTTACATGATTTAGGTAGTGATTTACAGGTTTTTGTACCATGATTACAACGTTAGGGTTCTCATAATCCTTAACTTTGTAAATCCTTATTTTACAATGATATGGATCCAAATTACAAAGAATAGGTAAGTCCGAATCATGAGGATGTAAATTGGGATCCTTATTCTAGTAAAATGAGGGTTTACAATATTAAAGTCTGATTTTACAATTTTGGGATACGAGGGTACCTTAACGTCGTAAAGAGCCTAAACTCGTAACTTGCAAATTTTTTGTAACAATTTACAAGGTTTGGCACCTGGATTACAATGTTAAGGTTCACCGAATCCATAATGTTATAAATCAGCCTTTTATAAGGATATGGATCCATATTACAAGGAATTGGTAATGGTGGACCTTAGGGATGTAAAATGGGTCCTTATTCTAATAAACAATGGTTTACAAGATTAAGGACCGATGGTACCTTAACGTCGTAAAAAGAATCCCTAAACTAGTAACTTACAAGTTTTTGGTAACAATTTACAAGGTTTTGCTCCTGGATTACAACGTTAAGGTTCACCGAATCCATAATGTTGTAAATCAGCCTTTTATAAGGATATGGATCCATATTACAAGGAATTGGTAATGGTGGACCTTAGGGATGTAAAATGGGTCCTTATTATAGTAAACAATGGTTTACAAGATTAAGGACTGATGGTACCTTAATGTCGTAAAGAGAATCCCTAAACTCGCAACTTACAAGTTTTTGGTAACAATTTACAAGGTTTTGCTCTTTGATTACAACGTTAGAGTTCACCGAATCCATAATGTTGTAAATCAGCCTTTTACAATAATATGGATCCACATTACAATGAATTGATAATGGTGGACCTTTGGGATGTAAAATGGGTCCTTATTCTAGTAAACAATGGTTTACAAGCTTTTTACAAGGATATGTATCCACATTACAAGAACTGTGTAAATATGGACCTTGGATATGTAAAATGGGCTCCTTAAGCTAGGAAATATGAGGGTTTACAAGCTTAAGGACATGCGCTACAATGCTTTGTATATGAGGGTACCATACCTTTATAAATAGGATCCTTAAACATGTAAGTTACAAAATTTGGGTAGCAGTTTAATTTTTGGATTTTTCATTTATTTATTATGATTTTTATAAGTTAAATCATAGAAAAATAATATTAAATAGTATATGGCGCCATGTGGCAGAAGGTTAGTGGGGCGTCATCTATGTTTCGGCCAAATGTCCTTCATAAAAAAATTAATCAAACATCTAAAAGTACACCTAAAATTATTACAAATTCTCATGACACTATTTACATTCTCAAGATACGAGGGTACCATAATATTGTAAGGGGATCCCAAAACTTATAAGTTACAAGATTTGGATAGTGATTTACAAGTTTTTGCATAAAGATTACAACATTAGGGTTCATCAAATCCATAAAGTTATCCTTATTTTACAAGAATATGAATCTACATTACAAAGAATTGATAAGGTTAGACCTTTGCGATGTAAAAAGTGGCCCTTATTCTAATAAACACAAAAATTTATAAGAGTGAGGACCAATGTTACAATGTTTTGGTTATAATAATACTATAACGTCGTAAACAGAATCCCTAAACTTGTAAGTTATAAGATTGTACTTGAAATGCAATTGCATATTGGTATGTAATTGGATACTTCCTGGTTGTCAATTACACGATACATGTTTGTCAAATACTCAAATCGTCATGAATATTGATAATACTAACTAGACGTAGTTAGTTAAAATAAAAGTTCATAAATGATTAAACTAATATTTTCTATTTGTTACTTATTTATGTCGATCCGTATAACATAATACTTTCTATTTGTTATAACTTGTTACATAAGCTAACAGTTAACATCTACCAAGTTACATAAGCTAACAATTAACATCTGCCAAGTTACATAAGCTAACAATTAACATCTACCACAAAAGATATAATCTCACATATTCTTTTTCAATTTCCAACTCACTGTTTGTCAATTGCATTATTCTTTTTCAATTTCCAACTTACTGTTTGTCAATTGCATTATTTCCTTTTCATCTTATGTGAGCCAATCTATCAGTACCCTTTCCATCTTATGGTCACTTCCTTTGAAATTAACTCATTCAACCCATTTATAGAGAACAATAGACGATCATATTTGACATCATTATATAATAAATTTGCCAATAACATAAAGAAAACAAATCAATAGTTTTTATAATTATTTATATTTCTCATAAGCATAAGTTAAATGAAATATCATACTAAGTACACATAATGGCAATGGATAAGTTGTCCATCAAAAGAAATACATTGAAACTAAATGCCAAGTATTTAAAAAAAAAAAAAAAAAAAAAAAAAAAAAATAAAACCAAATATAAGAAAAAAAAAAACTGAACTACAATCAAGATATGAAGCCTAAATAATAACAATAGAAATAGAAAAAAAAATTGAACTACAATCTACTACACTCCCATCTTCAATTCAGCCCATGCCTTACGTCACCAAGCTCATACAAAATTCCTTTATTTTGCTACAACATAGCCACATCATGTTGGCAATTGACAAATAGGCACCATATAATTGCCATTCTAATTTGCCAAAGCCAATCATCTGAATGGTAATTGCCAAACGACCTCTGTCATTTCATTTTTCTTCTCTTCCATGATTTAAGTACCTAAAAGTAAAAACAATAGAATTTTAGTGCTTTTAACCATTCTAATGCATTGATGAAAAACTATGTCGACAATCAATTAAACATATCCTACTCCTAATAAACAATCCAAGAAATCGTATTCTTCCCAGGAATTTGTGTTTTTCTTATGCAGCCAACTTGACATGACATACTCACTCAAACTACTATAAACAATAAAACACACACCACCAACTCATGAGCCACAAAATATATGAATCACCACATTATTCTACCTCTGTGACTCCTTCTTGTATTGTCAAATGTTTGTAGCATTATATGTATCTTGCTAGTGAAGTCCTCACCTTCACGAGTTGAATAAAATGAGATCAATAAAATGAAGATAGTTACTCCCACTGCAAAAGAAGAGGAAATAAATTATGTAGCAATATTTTACTATACATTGAACGAAACAGAAAGCAAATCAAAACACTCATGATGAAAATGGCTCACGGGAACCATTGGACAAGGGAAACACAAAGTGCAAATTCATCTCCACGTCTCTATGTTCCCAAACAACTAGCAAGGATAGGACCTCCAACTTTGGGTGATAGAACAAGTCACCAAGACAAAATCAACCATGAGCCAATAGCAACCTCCACTATATTTTTTTCTACTATGACCATGATTAAAAGTTTATATCAATTGTTGAGCTTCCACTTACAAAAACAAAATTAAATGCAACAGAAACAACAACACTTAAATCAAGAAAATTTACCTAAGAACATAAATCAAAGTACACACATTTCAAATCCAAATTACATAGTCTTTGCTTTGAGGCCAGAGGAAACAAAATTCCCTACAATACAGGGGAAAGACTAATGGTATTTTAGTGGAAAGAACTGAGGAATCAAAATTCCCTAACATACAAAAGCAAATATGATAAAATAGTACTGCAATCATTGTCGAACTTTCAATTTGGCAAATACTAGTTTAGATCATAACTCCATCGCCTGAAGCAGCTTAGAAGCTTTTTCAATAAAACCATCGTTAAATTTTTTTGAAAATTTAGTAACATGCCAACTAAAAGCTTAAAAATGAAACATATAAATAAAAAAACCAAGAACTAGCAGCAGTTATAAATCTGGAGGGATGTACGATGAAGATTACCCAAGAAGAAGCAGCTGCTGTAAATCCACACATCAACTAAGGGATTGCAGAGAAACATAAATTTGTGTAAAAAATCAACCCAAAGCAGAATCATAATGCCTATCCACCAACAAAGTAAACCAGAAACCAGAAAACAAAACACACTAAGGAATTTAACCCAATTTCCTTTTGTTTTTTCAAACAGAACCAATATAGAGAAAAAGTAGTCTTACGTGCACGAGACAAAACATACTAAGGAACTGAACCCAATATATATATATATAAGAAAAATAAGAGCAATACATTCCAATAAATGAGGAAAGACCAATACACTGTAATTAACTTGTCAAGGCAGTTAAAGCACAAGTAAAAAAAAGCTTTGAAGACCAATACATTCCAATAAATGAGCTCCAAACTTATCAATATTCAAAGATTAACAAATCAAATAAATTAGACCCACCAAATATCCAGAAAATAAAAAACTATCAATCCATCACAGTCTCAACCACCTTGACAGCCTTAATTTAATAGAAAAAAACATATACCTCAACCCCCAATTGAATTTAGAAGCCCTAATTCAACAAGCCTAATTTAACATAAAAAATCCTAAATTCAAAGAAAGAGGATGCTAACCTTAAACTGATATGAGAGAGGAATTGAGGAAAGGATATGACGCCGTCGACCCTATCTCGTCGATGTCGTCACAAAAGGAGGAGCGCATGTGGAAGAAATCAAAATCAGACAAAGACTGAGAAAAGAAGAGGTAGCGCGACTCTGTTCATAGAGAGATGTAAGGAGATAGAAGAATGAGAATAAGGAAACTGACTTACCTGAGAGGAGAGGAGATGTGGTCGTTGGTGCTGTGTCGTTGTTGTTCATCCATTTTGCGTTTACTGCTGTGATGGAAAGGCAAAGTTCTCCACTGCCTTGTGAACCATTGACTGGTCAACAAGTCAACTTTCTTTGGTGTGTGAGTGTGCCACTGCTAGCAATGAAGATTCTAGCAGACTTAGTTTAGAATGGATAACTTGCGCCTCAAGTTACTGATTTCTGCAAACAAACGATTGTGAATTTGTGTGAAGAATATCTCCCAAGTAAGTTCTTTTCTTGCCTCAGACTGGTAAGGACTTTAACAATTTATCTCAGTATAAAGAGGTTGTTCTGGCCAGAATGGTTGATGAAATTTAAAATGTCTCGGGCAGAACTGCCTTTTACAGAACTATAAAAATAAATATCCATGCTAGAAAGATGAAAGGACAGCTGGAAATTCATTTCTGTCTGGATAGGAGGCTCTAATCTGGGCTGGGCTGGAAATGCCTGGGCTGGACTGGACTGTTGACAATTTCAATTGCTAAACTTCAGCTGTAAATCGATACCAAAGGTTAATTCTGGCAGAGCTTTAATGTACTTCAAGCTTTTGTGAGGCTTTTGAGTGGGCATAACTACGGTTTCTTCAGTCTACAAGGGCAGAAGTGGCTGTTCTTGAGGACTTCAGTGGGCTAGAGACTGCACTGTGAAATTTGTTGAGGTTTTCATGTTTGGGAAAAGCTCAAGCTCTACCTGTCTTGATTCTTTGCTGAACCAAATTTGTAACGAGAGAAATCTCGTTTTGATTGACTTTTTTCTAAGTTTGAACTTGGTATTCTGATCTGAAGCTGGTTTCACTTGGAATTCAAGTGGGTTTTTTGGTTGATTTTTGAGTTGTTTGTTTGTTTGATCGTTTTTTATTGATTGTTGTTGAATTGAGTGTCTTTGAACCTGTTCACCATCTCCTCTATTTTTAAGAGATGTTTAGGTTTAGGGTTTCTTTCTTAAAATAATGGGCGGCAAATCTTTTAAAAATCTAGAAAGAAATACAAGAGAGAAGAGTTTAAAATTTTGTCAGATAGGCTCTCATCAATCAATCCTTAAGATCACTTCTCTGTTTTTTTAAAAAGAAAACCTAATCTCCTTTCCCAATTTTAACTGCCCCTTGTGAGATTTCATCTGTGATGGTTAGTTTGATTTCTTCAGTTTGAACAACTCCTTGCTTTCCTGCTTATCTCTTTCTGAGATTGTAGCTTGCTTATCTCTTGGGAGAATTACCTTCTCTGTAAAGTAGAAAAAATCTCTGAATATATATATATGTAAGAGGGATTTGATCTTCGGATTTTCAGAGGTGTCTCTTCCAGTTTGCCAGCCACTGACCCTTCCATTTATCAACTCTGTGCTAGTTGGTTTTGTTGACTTTTCCAAACCTGATAATACAAAGATGTCATGTGGGTTCTAGGATGGGTTCCTTTCTTTATCCAAATCGTGTTGAACTTATTTTGTTTGGAGCCCAAGAGGTGATTTTCTTTTAAGGCCCGAGTCTATTTGTCTGGTTTGGGCTAGACCTTTCTGGATCTTGGGTTTCCTCTTGTTGGGCTAGGCGTGCTAATTTAGGCCCAAACAGTTGTCACATAAGGAAGAAATGAGCAGCTGTAGAAGGAATCAAACTCAAAGGGAAAGAAAAATGAGAGGAGCGGCTCTAAAATGTCTTTGACTAAAGGAGAGAGCAATTATTTTTGTTTTACCTACAGCAACAAGTTAATCGGTAACCAGTAAGCAACGGTGTGGATTACTTCACATGCCCAAACTACTCATCCGATGGTCATAAGAAGTGGCGCATCCATGCGCCAAGCGCACGGTAGAATTTTCCTAATGGTGTGTCAAAATGTGTGTCTCCCAATCCTGACCCATATATATATATATATATATATATATATAAGGTGTTTTAATATAATTTCATTTATGATAGTGGCATATATTGTAATTTCCTTAAAAATTATGCACATACTTATTTGGCGAGAATGGAATGCAATTGAAAAGGGAGAGCATGTGGACTACATCCATTACATCTTGATGAAAATGGACCTATATCAAAGAAGCCCTAAAAAAAATTGTTTATGTTGTGCTGCGAGAATAATTAGCTGTGAAACAAAATAGTTAAGTGTTTGGTAAATTTTATTTGGAAAAGTACATGATGATTAGCTGTGAAATACAAGTAATGTGTATGTGTATAATTAGGGGTGGCATTTTAAACCGAAAAAACCGAAAAACCACAAAAACCAACCGACAATTTACCGCAATGAAACCGCAATTGCGGTAAATCGAACCACATTTGCGGTATTAAGAACCGAACCGCATTTGCGGTTGCGGTTGCGGTATTTGATTTTCAAAACTTGCGGTTACCGCAAACCGCAAAGTATAGCCGCACGGATGATGAGGTTGAATTCTACAAGGAAATTAAACATATGACAACTTGTAAGTAATTAGTTTATTTATGCTAATGTTATTTATGCTTCTTCTTATAATAAAATGTATTAAACTATGTTGTTTTATTTGTAAATAACATTGGTGCTCAAACAACACAACGGGGTTCTTCAAATCCACTCACCACCAACACTTCAGTTTGTAATTTTAGTTTGTAACATTGGTGCATTGCATTTTCCTTTTAGTTTATAACTTTAATTAACTTTGAATTGGATTTTTCTTTTTAGTTGTAACTTTAATTCATTTTGCTTTGCATTTTCCTTTTGGTTTATAACTTTAAAAGATTTGGAATTTGAATGCTTGAGAAGTTTAACTTTAATTGGAATGCTTGGAATTGTAACTTTAATTTTCTTAGGTTGTGAATGCTTGAAAAGTTGAGGAGATTGTGAATTTATATATGTTTGAGAAATTGAGGTTGTGTATTTATTTATTTAGGTTGTGAATTTATATTTTTGTGAATGCTTGAGAACTTGCGGTTTTAAACCGCTAATTCATGGTAACTGACCGCATTTTGGGGTTTACCGCAAAACGCGGTCGGTTTGCGGTTTCAAAAATCACCAAACTGCAAATAGTCGGTCGGTTTGCGGTTTGAGTAAAAATTCGCGGTTACCAAACCGCAACCACCCCTATGTATAATGATTGAAAAGTACATGATACTGAAATATTGATATTTATTGTAAATTCAAAACCATCACTATATCTCTCTCTAATATTGTTAGAGCATCCACAATGGGCTCCCTAAATCCCATCTTTAGACAAATTTTAGGGAGAAGTTGAAAAAATACAATTCCAACCATGCTCCCTATCCGCCTCCTAAAATAGGGAGACTTCTTGGACTGAGGGGTTTACCTCAGTGGTGAGGTCCCTCCCCCTTCCCCTCCCCTTGGTTACTCGTTCGAATCCCAGGATAAGTGCCCCCATTCCCAATGCAATGTATCTATCACTAATTCTTTATAATAAAAAATTGAGGAGAGAAAAAAAACTCTTAGTGGCCCCCTATAATTTAATATTGCTTTATTTATAAGTATTTTAAACCTTTAATTAATGCTAACTTTTTTTTTATAGAGATGAACGAATTAAAAAAGAGTTATTTCATTTATTACTCCATAAATTAGAGAGTATGATTGGAGTTAAAAAAATTATAGAGAGCTTTTAAAATAGCTTTTATATATTTTTAGCCAAATTTTAACTAAAAAATAGAGAGCATTGCTCTTAATTCATACACAATGCCAAATTTTGGATCAAACTCTTTCAACAAAATAAATGTTATTAAAGATCCTTTCAATAGCATTTAAGAAGAAAAAATTGGTATTTAATTAATGCCATAAAATATAGAAGTTGTAGTAGCGTGGTTTCATTTCATGCCAAGATTGATTGGCAATGAACTAACCTATCCCTTATGTGAGGTTTTTCCTTCTATGAACCCAAAAGTTCTCTTAAAAAACATAAATTGGTTTTGATTTCACTCTTGGTCATCTCTTGCTTTATTGGTATGCAAAATATTGCCTTATGGACTTTATAAAACTAATTTCAATTTCAATTTTTGTATTTACTTAATAGGGAATGTAATCAATAGAAAGAACAGGAGGAGACTCGAAATGAAACTCGGCTGTTAGCTCAAAGAAAGAAGACACTTGAGACGACTCTTGAGACGACCAAAACGTCTCTCCTCTCCCGCATAGCCCACATCTCTCTCTCTCTCTCTCTCTCTCTTCGGTCTGTGCTCTTTTCTCCTGATCCAATACTCCGCCGTTCCACCGCATAGCCATGGACGCTCTCCCGCAAGACACGCTCCACCAGATCTTCTCCAGCCTTCCCCTCCGCCAGGTCATGATCTGCCGCTCACTCTCCAAGTTCTTCAACCACCTCCTGACCTCACCATCCTTCATACAGCTCATCTCCACCCAATCGCCTCCCCTCAACCTCTTAGCCCTCCGCCCTCCCCACCACCACCACCACCGCCACGTATCCTCCCCTCCCTGCCTCCACGTGTTCGACCCCGACGACAACCAATGGCTCAGATTCAACCTAGATTTTCTTCCCTTCCGCTCCTCCCACCCCGTCGCCTCCTCCCTCGGCTTCGTCTACCTCTGGGGCGAATCGCCCGACTCGCCCGAGTCCACCAAGTCACTCGTCGTCTGCAACCCTCTGACTCGCCAGTTCCGAGTCCTGCCCCAGCTCGGGTCTGCTTGGTCGCGCCACGGCTCGGTCCTCGTTGACTCCGAAACTCGAGTCATGGTCCTCACCGAGCTCGCCGCTCTCTACTTCTCCGGTTCAAACCAGTGGCTAAAGTTTTCATCCAACCTCCCATCGAAACCCAGAAGCCCAATTTTGGTCTTTGACTCGGTTTACGCTCTCTGCGATGTGGGTTCGCCTTGGAGGAGTCAATGGAAGCTCTTTCATTGCACAATTTCAAAACTGAAGACCTCCCAGACGTGGACTCGGCTCGAAAAGCACGAGTGGGGGGACGTTTTTGACATCTTGAAACGACCCCGTTTGGTTCGCGGAAACGGGAACAAGGTTTTGATGGTTGGTGGGTTGAAATCGTCTTTCTCGCTGAATGCTTCGTGCTCGACGATTTTGATACTGAGGCTGGACTTGGATAGCTTGGAGTGGGACGAGGCGGGCCGAATGCCGGTGGACATGTTCAGGTGTTTTCAAGAGTCGAGCAAGTTCAAGGTGTTTGGTAGCGGTGATAGGGTTTGTTTTTCGGCCAAGAGAGTTGGGAAGTTGGCTTTGTGGGACCATTGTTCGGGGAAAGGCGAGTGGCGGTGGATTGATGGTGTGCCTGGAAGCGGCGATGGGCTTTGCAGGGGGTTTGTTTTCGAGGCCAGGCTCACTGCATTGCTTTGATCGGGTTCAGCAAAGTTTTAAGCTTTCGATGCCAACTAGAGGTTGGTATTCATAAAAAACAAAAAAAAACCCCCAAATGTTGTTGTATTGCCATTGAATTTGATAACCTGTTGTGTTAGTTGAATCTCTTAACAAATCAATATAATTTTTATTTCTCAACATTTGTTGCCTTGGAATTTTTGTGGCTGTATGTAACCGGCGTAGCCTGAATTGCATGGTGGATTTACAGAACAGCCAAAAGGAGAAGAATTAAACCCCGTTGCTGCAATACTTTTTTGGTTTTTTGGTATTGTTGGCGTTTGTGTGTGTCTATGAAAGTTTAAGACCAATGTAGCTGGCAAAGGATTATATATAAATAGGGGTGAAGTTTGTCTCAATGTTGTGAGAGTATAAAACTAAAAACATTGCAAGTTTCTGGGCTTGTGGTAGTGTTTATACTGACACTTTGATCAGAAACTTTGACCATTTTGTACACAGATGAAAGCATGTTGGTAACTTTTCTTATACCATCTCTACGACATCATTTGCTGATTTTCTATGACTTAAATACTGCACTGGTGTTATTGATCTCTTATTGCTGGTTTGGCAGTAAATTCTTGTACTTATGTGCCTATGTAGTTTGCTTCTCTGCTTTTACCAATTTGTACTACAAAGAGCTTTGTGACTGATCTATTTGTAGCGCTTTTTTTCTTGATCTGACATCTGCTCCTTGAGATGCATGATTGATTTCTTTTTTCGAAAGCTTTTATTCAAATCCATAAGGTTGAATTAATTAATTTTGCTAATTGATCAAAATTCTGGACTGGACTTTCAATTTAGTGGCTTGACAAGTCACTTTGAATATGCATTTTCTATGACTCAATTTAGTTGCCTACACACCCCATGTATGGGTCCAATGACTCTTTAGTGTGATATAGTCATCAGAATCAAAGCTTGGAACTGAATTCTTAACCTAATCTTGTTTGGTCGTGTCAAAATTGGAAATTTGTGGATGATGTGTGGTAGGAAGTGTAGCCCTTTTGCTGATTCCAAAAGAGGTGTGTAAATCTGGTTTAAATAGATTTCAAAGCTAGTTGGAAGCTTTGTTTTCATTGAATAACATGTCATTGAGTGCTGCTGCATGTAGGCATTTGTAATTCATGATTCATATGGTATGATTGTGCTTCTTATTCATGTTCCTTACCAGGTTGCTTGCTCAGTTTTCTAGCAATAATGTTTACATATGTAGCCACCTTGGTATTTAGCAAGGTTATATATAGGGATGATATTCAAATGATTTGGTTTTTTATATATAGCTGAAATTTATGATTTTGGTAAATGAAATCATAGAAATTTCAGGCTTGGTGCTTGTGTCGTGATCATCCATTAATTCTTTTGTAGGAAGCAGCAGGGTTATTCTCTTAAGTCAGATTGGTTATGTGCTAGTTAGATGTAGGGTATTTAAGCAACACCTAAGAACCCAAATGCTAATTGAAACTAGCATTTTAAGAGTTTATGTAGGACAATTGTGAGAGAAAAGAAGAGAAGAGAGATCCGGAATCACTCTGGTCATTGGCATCACACAAGGCGTATTGCAATCAGATGTTAGAACAATTCCCACATCGCATCGGCCTTCAGCATCACAGCGAAGGTGTCCTCGACTCACCCAAGCCAACTCATGGTTCGCACAAGTGCAGGAACTTTAATTTCTTACACTATTAACTTTTTCAAAGCATACAAAGTAACCCTTTCTATAGAGAGGGGATATATATTTTAGGGATAAATTTATTTCAAACGTAAACCATAATGGTGCGTAAAAACTGGGATGGGGCTTCTGCTTAAAAGCTTGTATAAGAGCATTCTATTGCGTTCCAAACCTCATGACACAGCTTAAATGGTGAGATTACTTGGCCAAATTTGATCGTCTATGTTTGAAACTTTACATATATGAAACCAAAGCGGCCAAGGTAAAAATTATGAGCAAACCAAATCTCACCTCAAAATAAATTATGTGGAAGCTAATCATAAGATAGAGTGGAATAGTTATCTAAAAACAAAAAGGATAGAACGCTGTAGCAGAGTCTTAATGATCCTTATATCCCATAACCTATATTTCCATAAAACTTGAGAATATATTAAATTTCATAGCATGAATCTTTTTGGTTCTGTCCAGAAAATTCAAAATAAGAGAGAAGATAGAAAGAAAAAGTTCTGGATCACAAAATTTCTTTTTTTATTTATTATTAGTGGTATTTTTTTTTAAATTTTTTATACAAAGGCGATAGTGTTGTATTTATGAGTAGGGATGAAACAAGTACAAAAATGGGGCTATGTCCTAGACCTACAGGATTAGGCGATCACAGATTGTAGTTTCACATCAATTTATCAGAGAACATCAATTTGTGATCACAGATTGCAGTTCTCTGATAAATTGATGTGAAGCTATTGCTGGTTCTATTAGTATTTAATCCGTGTCTAGTGGTACAAGGTACAGTTTTATTGAGTGCTTCATGTTTTTCAAAGTTAATGATCAGATTTATCTTTTGTGTGTTATTCATTGTCTCATTCCTTGTTGTAAAGGTCATGTTGGATGCTTTCTGTTGCCTTCTTAAATTAAACTTGCGTTTTTATAGAAGACACTTCTGGATTTTAATGTTTCTTTGGCACTTCTTAACTCTGGTAGAGAGTTCTTCCAGTCTTTGTCATTAAAAAAAATGATAGAGAATGTTAATGACTTACCCCTTTGTAGTTAATTAGTCTAATAAACTTGACAAATGAGACATTCTTGTTGACTCTAGGACTCATTCGTTCCATGTATTCCTCCTTATTGAAAGAATTCTGGAGAGAGCATGTATTTTTCAATTGAAAGGTAGTCATCCTTGTTATTTACTTTTCAGTGAATAAGCACATTTCCTTAGTCAGAACCGGCTCCCTTTGTAAGTGGCAGAGTGGCCTTGAGGGTGTTGCATGATTTGAGAACTCATATCCTATTGAAGTTGGATGGGCTACAATTCTGAAATGATTTTCACAGCCAGTTGAAACAGCATTTGCATAATTGGGTTTCCAGTGAAACAGCTGTAGCCTGTTCGGTTTGGACTGTGATGTCTTAGATTCAGCAGTTTGAACTTTGAAGGGTAGAAGGTTTGTGGGTCAAACATCATCACAATTTGCATGCTTTTCAGATCCTAGATGTCAGCTCTCACCAAATTACCCAATATTATGTGTGTTTCTCATGCCTAGTAGTGGTCCAAAATCTGCAAATCAACATCATAGTATTTTCTGCCTATTAGAAAATCAATTGGGTAGGTGCATTTTGAATCTGTTTGGAGGAAGGAAAAAAAGAAAGAAAGCAAAAGCAGAAATTAACTGGATGATGTGATATAGTATGTTTGTTTTTTTTTTTTTTTTTTTTTTTTTTGTTAGGTTAGACCCAAGGGTGTCCACCGCCGACAGCAGTGACTAATCCCTTTCGCTGCGGGAGCTCTCCCAAAGGAGGTAAACAGCTGGCCACGAAATGTGTTCCATTCCCATGGGCGGGGATCGAACTCCCAACCTCATGGTTAAGGGATGAGGTGAGCTACCACCACACCACATCTCATGGTTTTGTTTGGTAGTGTTTTTGTTCCTCGTGTTTATTATTTTTTTTAACCATTTGTTTCTTCTTTACATGTTAAAGAACTACTATGATGTCCTCCAGTTTAAATATAAGATTGAATTTTATTTTCAGGATGCCATTTAGATTTAGCTTGCAATGAAGAATGCTTTAACTTTATTATTGCAATCTTCAACAGGTAGGTAAAGCCATTGATGAGCATTGACTTTTGTGAAATTATTAAAGAAGGTAATGAAGATATTAATATTGTGATTCTTGGTGCACAAAGGAGGATTTATATTGTGATTCTTCTTGGTGCACAAAATTTCCAATCAAATACAAGCTGGATCAACCTTAATGCGGATGATTTTGGACATGCCATTTGAAAAAGTGATGCTCAAGTCAGACATGCCATTTCTCTTTTTCCACCTTTAGCTCCAGTTTCTGATTCTGAAAGCATTTCCTTTTTCTTCTTTTGGATTATAAATTATGATTAATATATAATTGATAATATCAATGTCATCTGAAAGACGTGGAGCCATAGCTCATGCTCTGGACCCGGACCCAGTTCCCCCCAGTGTAGGTATACAGAAAATTTGGATAGGACCCATTGTTTACCAAACACACCAACATGTCGAGGATGAGCCCATCTTTTTGGGTCAATAGACCCCATCCTTGCTGGTAGGCATTCTTAATAAGGATGGGTTATCTTGTCCACCCAATTATTAGTTTGGAACTAGTGAGAAATTTGACGATGCCACCGCCGGTTGGTTGGGTTGTCTCCTATCTGTGTTTCCTCTAGTCTTTGTATTTGTATGCTCTATTTTTCTGGTTGCAGTTGTCCCGTAGCTGTGAACGTTATTAATGTTCAATTTAAAGTTACAATTATGTGTGTGCTGTGAATGTTGCATATTCTATCAAGTAAAATGGGTGACCTTATCTGACAAGGAAAGAAGGAAAAAAGGTGAACTTCTCATCTGAGAGCCATTTTGCTGAACTCTTTTTAAATCTCCATTCCTGACAACAATTTGAGGCGTGAGGTTTTCGGTGGTGTGATTGTTGCGCAAATATACTTACATAAAGATTTTAGTTAGCGTCAATCGCTTACGCATGTATGCTTAAATAAATACGAGATGAAACCTTTTTTTATGGTTAAGTGTTAAATCACTATACCTAACAACCATTTGAGGTGTTTAAGCGCCATGATCTTTACACAATTATAGCTAAAAAAATTTAGTAATAGTTTTCTTCACTATTTGATGTGAGGTTTTCAATTGAGCTGAAGTGGGAGTGTAAACTCTGGCGGTCGGTGTTGATGTGTCCCTCGGTCTGCTCAGGGCACTCCACATGTCCTGCCCTTTGTTTTGGGCATCTCATTAATACACACATTTTTCTTGGTAAATCTCATATAGATTTTATCCTTGGTAGTGTTTTTGTTCCTTGTGTTTAATTTTTTTACCATTTGTTTCTTGTTTACATGTTAAAGAACTACTATGATGCCCTCCAGTTTAAATATAAATTTGTATTAACTTTATTATGGGCAATCTTCAATTGACCTTTGTGAAATTATTAAAGGAAATGGAGATTAATATTGTGATTCTTCTTGGTGCACAAAATTTCCAATAAAATACAAGCTTTTTTTTTTGTCTGAAACAGCAGAAAAGTTTGTATGAAATGAGAATAGCACTATTTTGTTACCCCCAACCAATTATAAACTGCCACGTGGAAAAATTAGACGTAGCATGTTTTGATTGGCCAAAAACAACAAAGTATTGCTATCTCTATTTTACACTAGTGCTTCTCATCAAACAGCCTTAATTTGGATGATTCTGGTCATACCATTTGGTAAAGTGATGCTGAAGTCTGAGATGTCATTTCTCCTTTTCCATCATTAGCTACAGTTTCTGATTCTGAAAGCATTTGCTTTTGGATTATAAGTTATTATTAATATATACGAAATTGATAAATAAAAAATCACTGTCATATGAAAGACATGGACCTAGCAAGAATTTTATAATAAGGATCTTATATATGATCTTTAGATGATGTCTTATTTTTTAATCGTTGGATAAAATTAATTAGTCGTTAAATTAAATTGATTAATATGATTCAACGATTAAGAGATAGATCTTAAATAAGGGCTACATATAATACCCTCACTATAGAATGACTCATGAACCTATAGCAACTCTGAACCAGTTCTCCCATTATAGATATAGAAAATCAGAATAGGACCCATTGTTTACCAAACACACCATCAAGTTTCTCCCTGGTTTAGTGAACCTAACAATTGACCAATTAAAATAATCCAATGCCAATTTAAATTTACAATTATGTGTGTGCTATGAATGTTGCATATTCTATCAAATTAAACAGGTGACCTTATTTGATAAATTTAAAAAAGGAAAAAAAGGTGAACTTCTCATCCAAGAGCTATTTTGCTGAACACTTTTTAGGGTATTAAATGTCCAATCCTAACAACAATTTGAGGTGTCAGGTTTTGGGTGGTATGATTGTTACATAAATATATTTACATAAAGATTTTTGTTAGTGTCAATTGCTTACGCATGCATATGTAAATAATTACGAGACAAAACTTTTTTTATGGTTAACTATGAAATCACTAATCCTAACAACCATTTGAGGTGTTTAATTGATTTTAAAAAAAATAAAGAAAAGAAACTCGATCTATATACTAGCACCCGCTAGAATGTTGCTCCTTATGAACGATCTATACTCGTGGATAGACCTTTTTTCTTTTTTCTTTTTTTCCCTTTATTTGGCTCTTTTCTTAGTGCATGCATTCCAAAACATAACCTGATGGATGAAGTCAACTATGATTTATGTGTTGAAAGATAAAGGCACATTCGCTATCCTGTTGATGATTGTAAACTAAGTTGAATGGACACTCCACTAAACTTAAGTGTCGGATATTTGGACACTCTTTGGACACTCTTTGGACACTTGTGTTTAACGGTTAACATCGTGTCCACGATCAATACATTCCTCATACATAGTCAGGACACTCTCCAAATACGGGTCAACTCATACTCAAGGTCAACTAATGTGTTAATTCATATAAAATTAATAAACTACAAAGGCTTAGAAAACTTGAATTTCACAATATATAGGTATTGTGAAATTGGAGTATGAACATCAATATATATAGGGATATGATTTCTCCACTTCCATTTTCTCCACTAACACTCCCTTTTGCTTTTTAATACTTTTTAATCAATTTTGTTCTTTTTCTTTCATATTCTATCCTTACCCTACATTAAGTATAAAGAAAAAGAACTAATATAAAAGTGAAGTAAAAAGGAAATTAATGTAAGGTAAGGGTAAAATAAGAAAGAGAAAGAACAAAATGGATTAAAAATTATTAAAAAGCAAAAGGGAGTGTAAGTGGAGAAAATTAGAGTGGGGAAATCAGCTCCTTATATATGTATATATATATGGCCTTTAGGGTACTTTACAATTTTTTTTTTCCAATGATCCAAATCATCTATTTTTTAGGTCTTCATTCATAGATCATCCTTACAAAAAATTTGACAAAACGGAAACTGTTTCGATATCCAATTGTGTCATACAAAAGCAATTAACACTGTGCTTCAAGAAATTACTAAAATTTCAATAACTCAATTGAGTGGTTTTTGAATGAGTATCTACAAAATAGACGATTTGGATTAGTGAAATATAATCCTGAGTGGGCCCTATTAGGGGTGTCCCTCAAATACGCTTATTTGAGGAATCCCTCAATAGAAGAGGACTATATATGTATATATATATATATACAAGTATAATTATAAATTATTATGTTTTAATTGTCGTGCCCCATATCCTAGTTTTTTGAAATTTGTCGTTCCCCCGTGTCATCGTATTTGTGTCCATGCAACATAAATTATAAAATTAACCTTATTTACACAATATTTTTTGTTTTAAATTTAATCTTATAAATTCAAAGAGATTCGGTAACATAAAACAAATTGGAGAAAAGGATTTGGTTTACTGATTCGTCATATCATGTAAGAAATTAGGGATTGTCACGCAAAAGAAAAATAACTTTTGATATTTAAGGTGCCCTTTTATGAAATTTTTTGTCCATCCACCATTAAATTAAAAAAAAATAATTAATTATTAGAGTATAAAAAAAAAAAAAAAAAAAAAAAAAAAAAAAAAAAAAAACCACCAACAAAAAAAAAGAATATTAAGAGAGGCATGGCTATGCCAACTTGTGAAGAATGACTACTATCTAGTAGATCTCAAAGATGAGACAGATTGATTGGACAATCAGTATAAGATAGAAAATATAAGTACAAGAATACACCTCATGCTTCCTTGAGCAAGTTAATGAGTTTAACTTAATTGTTCTTTTAGTGAATTTGATCCGCATTTCAGGTGTAACAATACCTCTTTTAATATACATATGAGACTCAATGGACCTCTACCTATGTCGTTTTAACTTAAAGGGTTTCGGTGTAGTTATGAGTTGACCACATATATTTGAACTATAGATTATCATTGTATTCTTCAATGTGGGACTTACACATCATGACTTGTATCGAGCAACATACATCAATAATCTCCGCATTTATAAGATCCAAGCCAAAGTAATCCAACCGTTACAACACTCACACTCTTTGAGGATGACGTGGTCCCTGCAACTAAACCTCTACAAACAATAATTTCTTAAGTCTTGCTAGAAGCCCTTGCTCCACTTAAGCCTAGGATTTTCTCGAGCCTTGTTAGGAGCCCTTGCTCCACCTAGTTAGCCACACCTAGAATTTCCTTGAGCCTTTTCTCCATTAGCCCTTACTCTACTAGCCTGCTCCACCTTTATCCATCTGTGTAAGAATTTGATTAAGTTACCTCTTCAACTTGAACCAAATGCATTGTAGCGAAATTAGGCTATTATATCAGTTGTCGTATTTCTTAACACCTTCCCAATGATCTCCCACACCCAACTTAGGTGAAGGGCTCACCATCACTTCAACTACTTAAAGTCTATCTCGACTCCAGATGCCGTTTTGTAAATATTTGATCTTGTCCCATCTACACATAACCCAAATCATTGTAGTATATTAAAAAATAATTAAAAAAACATTCTTGGTGAGTAGTTCTTTATAGGAGCAATTTATTTTATTAAAAAAACAAAACGTTCTATTATTTTTTTCTCGTACAATATCTTCAATCTTCACATATGCAACACATGCGAATAATTCTAATATTATTATAACGAGAAGAGGCCATGTCCGTCATTATAAGGTAACTGTCAAATTATGAGCCCTTAATTATATTAAATCATTATTATAAAGAAATTATAATTATAAATTACTACAATTTCATTAAACATACTTTGTACTCCCATGATGTCATGTTTTTCCTCTCTTTTTGGTTGCTTCAATACCTTTAGATTGGATGAGTGTTTCTTATAGTAAGAGAGTGAATTGGGAAGTAATCAGTAAAATTAACATTATATTATTATTTTCTTAATTGAAAAATAACAAATAATATTATTTGATTATCTTAATTGACAAAGAGACTTCTCTTAATTAATAGTCTAAATAAATATAGCCACTTTTGTCTACTTACACTCTCTTTTATTTTTATTACATTGGAGGAAAGAAACCCCATTAGAGTTCGATCATGGGTACCATTGGCACTGTCATGGGGTGGAGGGGGAATCCACCACCACTACGGTGGGAACCCATTGACCACTCTCTTTTGTTTTTAAATACTTTTGTAATTACATTAAAAGGCAGTATAAATGAACAAAAGATGAGTGAAAAAATAAGTACTTATTCAACTACTAAATTTAAGGCAGGAAATTGTAATTGTGGTCACCGGCCCGTCAGCTTATCACAACCCACCGCTGCTGAGGCCTATGGCGTGAGCTACGTCATAATTATGGTATGACATGCGGTATCCCGTATAAACTGCAGGCCATTTAATCTTGAACGACAACATCACAGCAATTGTTCCCAATACGCGCGGCATTCTCTTCAGTCACAAACAGTTTTTATATTGCCCCACAAGTTTCAACCCTATCCACTCCCACTATATTAATAATAATAATAATTAATTAAATAATAATTAAAAAAAAGGCATTGTCTTAGCTCAGCTGGGGACGGAGCGAGGACTATGGAGACGAGTGACCAGGTCTTTCTCATTTCATTTCTTCTCCTTCTAACTAGTCTTCTCTCGCTCTAGAAAGTTCACTCTGCTACAGTACATTTGTATGACGAGATTGCCCTCCACTTTCTCAGCGAATTCCGAGCCTATCCTCGTCTTCTTCTCAGATTCTACCAACAGTCAAAGATCCTCTGCTGATCAACTTCTTCTTCTCCATATTTTCATGGAACACCTGCTGACTTGAGATTCCTATGGATTTGACCGAGGGCGTCGGAGAGAGCTCGTCACCGCCTCGAAGCTTCGTCAGCTTCAGCAACTACGATGTGCGAAACGACGTGTACAACCGCTTGTTGGAGAGCGGTAAAGAAGACGCTTTGACTCAATCTGATTTTCGTGAGCAGTTGGACGCTCACTTCAATCGCTTGCCGGCTAGGTATTCCAATTCGATCGCTTTCCTTTCCTGTATTGGAATTTGTTTTATTTCTTTGTTTGGCTTTAACGAATTTCGGCTGTTGATTTTATTTCTGAAACTAGTGCTTTATTTTTAATTTTTCCAGTATGAATCTTCGTGAAGCTTAGATTAGAGTCTCAATGATGATTCAACTGTGATTGATCTCCTTGAGTTGTGGAAGATAATAATATGCATGCCGAGCAGTTTTGGGAAAGTTTTTAATGTTTGAAAATGTCCATTTGCTTATTTGTTCTATTCTTGGTACCGTACGGCTTACGGCTTTACTTTTGAAGCTTTAAGTTTTGAGATGGAAATGTTTTTTATACGTTATTTTCTTCCCTATATATCTGCTGACTATATAGCTGCTGACTATGTAACCAGTGGAGTAGCTTACATTTTACAAATTCTTTGTGTGTACGAGTGGAAATTAGTTCCACAGCCAATTTTTCTGATTCGTGTTTGAATGGAAAAGTACTACACTCTTGGAAATTCTTTTCTGGGAGGCACAAAGTTTTTACTTAGGTTTGTCAAGAAATACTATCCAAGGCAAAGACTGGCAAACCTTTCCAGCCCCTATGTTATGTTGAAGCTTTGGTTAAAACATAAGTGGAAAGTATATTCACTAGAGTTTCAAAGAAGTTCTCCACCGGAGAACTTCATAAGAGCCATATGATAAATTCCTTTTTTTTTCTTTTTCGTGTGAGGGGAGGGGGAGTGAACTTAGTTCATGTTTTATGTGCTTCCTAATTTATTCCCTGCACTTACTCCATTGGAACAAACGGAGCCATAGGATATTGTTTTTATCTTTTTTATAAGGTTGATGAACCTATTTCTACGTCTTTTTTTGCTACGCAGTTATGGGCTTGATGTTAACTTGGATAGAGTAGAAGATGTCTTGTTGCATCAAAAGCTTCTTGCATTGGCAAAAGACCCAGAGAAGCGGCCTGTTTATCATATCCGTTTCATGGAGGTATTGAATGAAATGACATTTAGCCAAAGAAAAAAGAGAAGATTTCATATAGCCAAAGCATGATTTAAGTTTACTTAGCATTAAAACTATACCTCCTTTTAGTCTGATATGATTTTGCTTACTAGCTGTTGTTTTGGAAATATTATTGTTACTCTTGCTTCCATTGGGGTAAATCTGACGCTTCACCTGTTCCATATGAATTATTTTGAAAGAGAACATATTTCTTAATAGTGGGTTCAGGGAAAAGAATTGGAATGGTCATTTCCCTACACTGTTGACCAGGATCTGGATCTATTACAATGTATAGTAATATATGCATGTTGTTGCATGAATTAACTGTCACTTTCTGTAAAGAAGTTTTGAACTACACTTGGAAATAGGATTTCAAAGAATCCTGTAAGCATGAGAAACTTTGATGTTATTTCCAATGTCAAATTAGTTCTTTTTTTCTTCCGACCATTTTATCTATTACAAAGGTCCTCACACTTTTGTTAAATTCTATGGTTCTTTATGTACTTCTGGTCAGAATACTTCTACAAAAACAGATGATGACGATGATGATGATAATGATGGCCAACAAGTTACTAGTATCATTTCAACCTCAAGGCCATCATGTGGTGAAGCTAATGAAGGAGCTGCTCGGTCACATGACAGGTATTATACCTGTGTTGTACTCCGTCTGAAATGATTTTCTTGCCATATTTATTGCTGTTAAGGGTTTCAGTGACTGCATTGGGTGATTGTGGGTTTCATTTCTTTATTTCTTATCTATTCCATTTCTGTGAGTAGAGCTAGGAATTGTGCAATTGACTCTAAGCTTGGGGACCTAAATTTGGATGTTAGAACGAATGCTACGGACATGGATGGAAGACATCTGACAGAGAGTTTTCCCCCAAGGTACTTAACAAAATATTGTTGGCATGTTTTTTGTTCAAGACTAAACACTTTTGTAATTCATCAAAGCAAGAATTTGTTTATCGTCAGATCAATGGTTTACCATTTGATACTTCAATTGTTGCAATATGTTGGTTTTGTGGTCTTTATTTCTTTTGGTTTATATTTCTATTTTATATTTGTTGAGTTGCAATCACACTCTGGTATCTAACCAATAACAACTAAAATGAAAGGGGACAATGGAAACATATTAGATATGTAAAGCAACAACTGGTCATAAATGGTCCTGGTCCCGAATTCTTTTCAGAAACTTTTTGTAGTAAATCTTTATTTGAAAGGTTGGTCGGTTGGCGTGGATGCATCATTTTTTTTGTATAGAACATTGGAGTTGGTTGAGTTATGGAGTAGATTGTTATGTTCTGTGAAGGCAGTTCTGGTTTTGCTTCGTTTGACTTCTCATATTTTCAGTATAGGAGTTATTTAGAGTGAGCAATAGTAGAATGTTAAAGTATGTGAAGAAGAATTTTGCCTTATTAGGGGCTTCAGTTTCAAAGTTTGGACTCAATTTCAGTAGCCTTCTTTTCAGAGATTGGAAGACTTAAGACTTTCTTTCATACTTCTTTGACACGTAGTAGTGTTTATGAATATTGTATTGTTAGCATAGGGTGGATTACCCATCATCCTTTAATTATTTTGTACTGTTCCATTTCTGAGAGATTTTTATTTCTTATCAAACAAAAATTAGATCAAATGTTTATTGAGAACTAAAGAAATATATTTTGCACGTGTTATTTTGAATTAATTATGTTAAGTAATAAGTATGTATAGTTTGTCTGTCTGCTTTCAAGGAAACCATGCATGTCCATAGATGGTATACACAGGTAGAAGAATATCTGTCAATTATGTACATAAACACATATGCATGCATAGGTAAAAACATAATTGTATGAAATATTAGGCTAAAGGTCTTCTTTTCCAACTTAGCAACATATACCTATATTAAAGTTTTTTTTTTTTAAAGGTACAGAATCCAATAATGCTTTATCAAGCTCTTTGACACCAACTTTGTAATTTTGTTGTTCAGTGAACATAATCTCTTTTTATTATTTATTAAGACTGAGCTTTGGCTGTATATTGAGAGATTGCATTTGCAGTTATGGGCTTCTCTTTCTCCAGCCTTTAGGATTGGAATTTTATTAGATTGGGGAGCTGCTGCAGAATAGTTTTTAGAGTTGTCTTACAATGTCAGAGGTGTAATATGGACTTCTGTTTTATGGGAATTAAATCATTTTTCTTTTAGACCTTTTGTTCACCGAGTCTTCTATTGTGTTCTTGACTTGATAAAACTTCATTTCTCTTAAAAAAAAATTGCAGTTCTCATCTATGCAGAAATTATATTGACAATTGGGATGTATAATGCAGGCAAGATATACCACATGTTCCCATTCATGAAGTCATATTTTCAACCATTGACAAGCCTAAGCTTCTTAGCCAGGTATGACCAAGAAACTTAATTTATTTGTTTGTCATTTGGTAGCTTCATTACATGCAATACATTGTCTCCACTTAGCAGTCTCTTGGTATTCACTAATTTCAATGTAAGTGTTTTTAATACCTAATGCTTGTAACTTAAATCACTGTCAAATTTATTTACTTTTTTTAATGGACACCCCATCTAACTTGTCCTTTATAAAGCTATGTCAAAGAATTTCTGTTTATGTAGATGTATACAAGTTTTTACCTAGTTTTCATATTTTTTTGGTAATCCTCATGCTTATGATCTTTTGAGTAGACAGTTTCTATGGGGTTCTGTGTTGGAAAATTTTCAACGGATTTATTACTCCTTCAGAGAAAATATGATGTTGTCATGTGAACGTCTTTTCCATAGTACCTCACTGCAGAGCCCTTGGATTTGAAGATAATTTGAAAACCCTTTGCATTGGAAATGTTCTTTATCATGATTAATTCGTGTCATGATGTTTTACATGGTTACTTTCTATCAATATAAATTTGCAGCCTTCAAATTTTTGAAAAACTAGCAACTGAATTTAAGGGTTGCAGTAGTTAATATTGTTGTTATTATTTATAAAAAGAGGAGTAATACTTCTTTTTTGAGAGCATAATTCAGCACCCTTGATTCTACTCTCTCTCTATATATATATATATATATATATCTTCTATGTTGTTAAAGCCAGAGAACTGCAAAAGTGGAACCATACTAAGGACAACATCTTTCTAACAGATGTCATTTTCCTCTAGCTTTCTGCTTTGCTTTCTGATTTAGGACTTAACATCCGTGAAGCACATGTTTTTTCAACGACCGATGGCTACTCCTTAGATGTTTTTGTGGTGGATGGATGGCCTGTTGAGGTACTTTTTTGCAATATAATGTGTTTATCATCATTCGCTGTCTGGGTTGCATGTTAGTTCTTTTTATGTATTACTATTGAGAAATGTCCAATATGTTGGTTGGCCTTTGTTTTTTTTTGGGGAGGGGGGGGTGGGGGGGGAGCCCCAGACTGTATGTCTTTACCAATTACACTTTTTGTTCATTGTGTGTGGTTTTTGTTGTGATGCCATTATTATTTTCTATAATCTAAGCTGTTGCTGTGTTTTCTTCTTCTGTATGCATCCCAATATTTGTGTTATAAGTATTGAATTTTATCAAACAGGTTAAGTAAAAAAAAACTGCAGTTTATCCAAGGAAAATTCTTTCGTAATATATTAAGGGGCATTGTGATTATATTTCTTTTATGACAGGGATCTGTGCTGAGTCCAAATGTTGCTGACTTTGCAATGTTGTGGTCAGGATACAGATGGTCTACATGAAGCTATGGAAAAGGCGGTTGCTAGAAGTGAGGTAAATTGTGTCACATTGTAATAGTAATAGAAGACTAATAGACAGTAATATGTAACTGTTGCTTGATAATTTAGGGTTCATGGTCAAGATCTTCACATTCTCATTCGGCTGTGGAGAAAGCATTAGCGGCACAAGAAAAACCTGGAAACTGGGAAATAGACAGAAGACTATTAAAGATAGGAGACAGAATTGCATCTGGGTCATGTGGAGATTTGTAAGATAGGTTTTATTGTTTTCACCTTTATTCTTTTATGGGCCTCTTCACTGCTGAACCCTCTATTTCTGTCTATCCTAAGGTACCGCGGAATTTATCTTGGTCAAGATGTTGCGGTTAAGATACTGAGGTCAGAGCATTTGAATGATGCTCTAGAGGATGAGTTTGCTCAAGAAGTTGCAATTCTGAGGTGAACCACTTTCTAGTTTTGATTGTTATTTTAATATTGGTTTCTGTTAGGGAATTCACATGAAATCACTCTTTACCTGATCTGTTGGGATCTCCTCTCCACTAGTAAATTTTTAAACATTTTCCCATTATTTCCTACAATTCTCCTGGTGAATTTAGCTTATGGTGGAAAGGATATAACAATTCTAAAATTTTCTGTCCTAATTCTGGTAAAAAGTTGGTAGTTCAAGTGCAATAGGGATAGGAAGGGATTTTGGAAGGTTATAGTTTATTTGTTCTTCCCAATCGCTAAGGACATTAAGGTCCTGGAAATAGGTTTTTGCAGGGTTTGGCTGCCTTTTCAAGCTTAAAGAAATCATGTTTTTTGTGGTCTCTATTTTTTAGTCTATGTATCTAATTGTGACTCATGATATTACCCAGCATGAAATTTGGCATGACATGTTCACAGCTGTCAACTCATTGTTGGTAGAAGTACTCTGGTTTAAGATAAACTTCCATGCATGCTTTCGTTTACTATGATTTATTTTCCTTTACATGAACTTGGGTGCTCACTGCTTAGTACAAATTATTTTTGAAGGCCGTGAGTTTGTTAATTGCAAAAGTAAATTACACGTTACGCAGAAGAGAAAGTCAAATCACAATAAAAGACAAAAATTATCTAGCGCTAATTCTAGTAGCCTAATGGAAGCCTTCAAATTTTATCAGTTTTTTGGTCATATTTTGCATGCTGCTCTATACTGTGGACAAGAACAATTCCTATATTGTCTAGGTGTCTTCCCCTTTCTGCCCCCTTGTAAACAACTCCACATTTTAACCGACTATAGAGTTTGCAAATAAATTCCTTGCTTGAAGATAATATTTCTCTTACATCATGAATAATCTGAATATATTAAAATCCACATGCTTTTCACTGTGCATATCATTTGTTTCACCTTGATCTCTAATAAGTCATGCATCTACATGGATCTTCCGAGTACAAGTTTCTTATGCTACAGTATATGAGGATCTAAACAATTCATTGGGGGCAGCACAGGAGCTTTCTCACTAATATCTGTGGGTCAAAACCATGTCAACCCCTTTGCGCTTTTACTCTTTTAATTTCAACTATATCTCATGGTCTATTGTAGCCACATAAATTATGGAGTTCTGAAATTGTTTTCCCGTAAAAGCAGAATTATTTCCTTTGCAGTCCTTGATTTTCAATTCTAAAAGCCCGTAAGTGTTTTTTTTTGGTTGTTTCTAGTTATCATAGTCTCTTATTCTATTTTAGGTTGTCCCGTTCTCCTGGTCCACAGTGAGTTTATTGGGCAACTGCTGTTGGATTAAATCCAACAGTAGACAGCAGTCTAAATAATAAACTCAGTTTATAGTTTTTAATTTCAATTTTTTTTTTCGAGAAGTAATTTTTAAAGCAATTTTTCAAAAAGAAAACTGAAGGGACTTTAGCATCAGTACGCCTCCCAAATTGGTAGAATTTTTTTCTCCTTCAATCTCTATCCAAGTTGGTATCTTACTTCCCTCTTCTTCAAGCTTAACAATTCTTCTCCATTTTGAACCCTTCGAAAATTTCACATTTCTCTATTCTGTATTTTGGCGTCCTTATCAATTTTTGCATTTAAACTTTTCCATTCTTGATCACACTTGGGAGAGAGGTCTCTCCATTTGAATTCCCCCATCTGGTTTTGCACCATTGCTAGAAGAAAAGGAAATTTTCACACCAGATGCACATGTGCTGCTCTGTGAAAACTGGGCGAATAGTAAAGAACATTGTTAGAGAAACCTTGTTAAAGAAAACAATGGGCTTATAGGAGAGTCTGGAATTTGGAGGGGATGAATTGGGATTTAGAAAAAAAACTCGTGATTGCATGAGAAAAGTGCAAGTTTCCTTTTTCAAGATTGCTTTAAAGATTTTTTACTGAAAAAAATAATATTAAAAAAATTATAAATTGAGTTTATTGTTTAGACTGTTGTCCACCATTGGATTTAATCCAACTGCAGTTGCCCAAGAAACTCCCTGGTCCCCATGGACCAGGAGAATGGGACTGTAAGTTTGCATGCTTATTGCTATGAAGTCATTTCAAAATAAAATGCCAAGATAGTGTATACTCATTCTTAAATGCTGATGTATCTATATCTATATATATATTCGTTTTGTGATTGCAGAAAGGTCCATCATAGGAATGTTGTGTGCTTTATAGGGGCATGTACGAAGTCTCCACATTTGTGCATAGTGACAGGTATGCAATTTTCTAATTGGTTTTCTCCAGCATTTACTATAAATTAAGTAAGCTTCTTTAATGGTTTATTCATTCTGTATCAAAATCTTACACGTGGAGATGTTCTCACAAGCAGTGTAACTAAGATAAGCAGAATAGGCATCAGGTGTACCTTCTTTTTGTTCATTTTTTAAGTGAAATCTAGTATATTCCATTAGTGAACCTAGTATTTGTATAATTTACATGATTATAGAGCGAGAAAGTTTCATGAGTATTTCCACTAATATAAGCGGAGCCGACCATAAATTTCATTTTTAACTTTTCAGAAATCTTATTGGAACCGAGCTAAAATTTCTTCTTTAAGTATGCAGCATTCAAGGAGACTTTTTCTTGTGTGTTCTGTATTCTACTTCCTCTAAACTGTTTGGATGCCTTTTGGAGCTCCTAAATAAGTGTAATTACAATATAGCCTTTGCATCTTGTTGTAACTTGTATGTTATGGAGCTTCATGGGGAATTAGGAATAGAAGGATATTTGTGAGAGCAAGGGATGAGGAGGTGGATCATTCGTGGGATGGAGTTCGTTTTTGGGTTTTCCTTTGGCATTGGTATCTTCAGACTTTAGGGATGGTTCTTTTCGGGGTATCTTTTATGATTGGAATGCGGCTTATTTTTCGTTTTCATCTTGTTTGCTTTCATGCAATATTTTGATGTTTAGATCTGTAGATGAGTATAATTAGTCCAGTGGACCACTTGTCCCCTGTATTGTACTGTTCTTTTTCTATTAATGAAAGTATGTTTCTATTAAAAAATAAATTAAATATAGTAATTTCATGGGGACTGAGCTCTAATGTGAGAAGCTCTTTCATGATGTTCAGGCAACAAAAACCATGCATTTCACTTGTTTGTTTTATGTCCATAAATATTTGTGTTAGTGCTAAAAGATTATGTTGTGAATACAGCTTTGGTTGTTCGTTTGTCTCTTTTTTATTTTTTGTATATTCATATAGTCAAAGCAGCCATTTCAGTGAGAATGTAAACAGGATCCGGAGGCCATTTCATTGAGGATAAACTAATAAGTTTTAAATCTAAGGAGGTTGGATCACCAAACTAACCTATGGCTGTGGCTGTGGCTGATTTTGGGTCTCCATCTTCTTTTTGAGAAAGTTGGTCCAGTTATCAGTGTTAATAGTAGTCATTCCTTACCAGATTAAGTTAAAATGCCACCATGAGCTGGGGTAGATTCCCGCCTGCAGTAGTCTATTTGGTTTAGGACATTTGTAGCTTCGTTTTCCATGGTTGTGTGAAGCAATTCTTTCCTTGAGTTGATCCAGTTATCATGTTGAACTTAGTCATTGATGTCCCGATGAAGTTAAAATGGTTCTGTGGCTTGGGGAATGTTAGTTATATGAAAATCATCTACATTGTGCCCAGGCGCTCTAAACTCATATTCTTAGGGAGTTTCACTAAAACACCCAAAATGGGGGTTGAAATTATAAAAAAACCCAAGCACTATTTAAACATATAAAACACACCCAAAACCCATCATTACACACACTCAAAACCCATTATAAACACACCCAAAAAGTTGACTTTGGGGTTGATTTTGGGTGTGTTTCTATGTTTAAATAGTGCTTGGGTTTTTTTATAAATACATGTCTAGGATTGGGTTTATTTATAAATTTGTATATTTGTTATGCATATGTTATACATTTGTTTTTGGAGTTGTCTTATGTTTCCAGACTACATGTACTAAGTAGTTAATTGACTCTACTTCTAACTACTGGAAGTTGTTTCTTTCCATTTTCCATCCTGTTGGTTCTTTTTTTTTCCTTTCTTATGATAAAAATTATGAAAATTCATTTGTTACTGTTTTTACTTGCAGAGTATATGCCCGGTGGAAGTCTCTATGATTATTTGCACAAGAATCATAATGTCTTGAAGCTTTCAGAACTGTTAAAGTTTGCAATTGATGTCTGCAAAGGAATGGAGTATTTGCATCATAAAAACATAATTCATAGGGATCTGAAGACAGCAAATCTGCTAATGGACACTAACAACGTAAGAACTAAAGGTTATTGTTTTGCTTGTTTTGCAGCTTCACTTATGAATAAATGCACAATGGTTAAGGTTTTGCTGATATGTAAATAGTTCAAATTTTCTAGGTTTTGGGCGAAATGACAGCATATTAACTTGTAAATCAGAACTAGTGTTTCGAAGAATTGGTTTTCCCATGTATGAATTCTTAGCAATGTTATAATGCTCCGAGAAAGAGCAATTAATTTACTGAATCATGTATGTCATAGCCCTTGGCTTTTCTTGAATTATAGGAGAGGTTGTTATCCCACTCAGGTACTAAAGTCACGTTTCTCATACTCGAGGGCTTTGAATCAGTCGTGTGGTCCTTTGAATTAGGAAGGTTTTACAAATGTAAAACTTCCTAGGCTTTTGGAGGGTAGCGTGTTTGTTAGTGTGCTGTATTACTTCATTATCCCTATCTGGTCCTGTCAATTTTTGGTCTTCTGACTTCCATCTCCTCATCCTTAAAAGAAGAAAAAAAAAAATCTAGGGCTTTGAATTACTAAGGGGCTAAGAAGTCATTGTATTTTCTTCTTTTTCATTTTTGCATTTCAGCTTTTAATGTTTAAGAAGAATAGTTTCTTTCTTTACTAATGTATGTTATCCATTTTGAAATTGAAATGGGAGGTTATTACCATACATTTTTCATTTTCTTGAGATGGATCTCACATTTTATATGATTTATGACTCGTCCCATAAAATTTATGGTCAAATAGCTCTTTAGTAAAGAACTTTTGAGAATTTCGTGGATCTCTAACAGTTCCCTTCAACCTCATTCAAGATAAGATTTGGTTCAATTTCTCCATATCCTGTGGGGAAAAATAATTTCACCTGTTTAATATATTATCTTAGAGAAGTTATTACAAGTCTCTTTTTTGGTCTGAAGTAAATACAATTCTTATCTTGACTATTGGTGGTAAATTAGTCTTCCAATATTAAGTGTGGTATTCATGACTACTATATTTCTTTAATTTGTTTGTGTGCTATGTTTATGCTTAATTAGCCGACAGGGAAACAATAAAGTTCAAGAGATTTATATGTCATTTTTTAATAATGGCTATAGCATTCTCAGGGGATGTATTGCAGCTCTAGTTGATATAACTTGTGGTTATGGACCGACTGGAGTAACCTAACCATTTCTTTATATGGGGTAATAGTTTGATTGGGTTGAGCATTTTGGAATAAACCCCTCTGCATGCTTTGTGCTTTGAGGTGTGAAGTTTGATTGCATGAAGGAGGAGTTTAAATGTTCTTCAATCAGGAGCTGGATTTGATGTCTTTAAATTTAAATTAATGGTTAAACTGATACCTTCAAGATTTCATGAATGATGAAGTAATTAGATAATGGGCTTCAAGATGTCTAGTAGTGTAATTATACTTTCAACAAGTATCTTAATATTTTTAATAACTAAAACTAAAGTTCAATGTTAAACGTCAACATGTTTTTGTTTATGATAATGGGTAAACTGTTTTCTGGTTAGATTTCTTTGTATAAGTGTTCGACTCTCTGCTCTCATATCTTGGCAATTTTCTCATTCAGTTCAGGAAATGTTCTTGATCCTTTTACCGTTGAAAAATCATTTTCTTATTTGCCTTTAGGTTGTAAAGGTGGCAGATTTTGGTGTTGCTCGGTTCCAAAATCAAGAGGGAGTAATGACAGCAGAGACTGGAACCTACAGATGGATGGCACCAGAGGTTTGTTTGATTATTCTGGTTCATTTTCCCTTCATTTTTCCTTTTTCAAGCTTTTAATCCATAGGAGATCAGTGATTGTATGTAAATTCTTGAGAGTGTCTTCTTGAAAATTAATGTCAAATCTTAAATCGTTGGACTTGGTTGAAAAAAAAAATCCTTTCCCATCGTTTTTTTCATGGACTTATATTTCTTAAATTGATCTGGTGATGTGATCTATGAATAATTAGTTCATCATTAAGAAATGCCAGCAACCAGCCATATCATAACCCCGTTGTTTGAGAAGCAGGTTATGGTTGATTGAATTTCCTTTTTGGTTCTTGAGATGTTGGCATTCTGGTCTTGTTTTCTCAGAACACTTTACTGTTAATGCTTCATTATCTTTAGATAATGCACCAAGTTCCACAACATTAATTACATTCTCATTTCAACATGTCATTGCTTTCTTGCATTTTGCAAGGTTATCAATCATCAACCATATGATCAGAAAGCAGATGTGTTCAGTTTTGCGATTGTACTTTGGGAGCTAGTAACAGCCAAAGTATGCTCTAATGTTACAAAAAGCTCAACTTATATATATATATATATATATATATATATATCGTGTGTGAGGATGTGGAAGTTATTTTTAAATTGTGTATGATCTTGCTATTGCAGGTTCCATATGATACCATGACTCCGTTGCAAGCTGCCTTGGGAGTTAGACAGGTTTACATTTATTCATGTATAGATATGTTTTCTTTGTGCGTGTGCATGCACACACATAATTTGCGACAGCACGGTTGTTGAACTTTGGCATTGTCTCAGTGTCAAATATCTGCTTTTGAACTATATTAGGTTTTAATTGAATATGTTGTCTGTAGAAACACTTGACATGGTTGTCGTTTCCTCTTCATTTTCCCCCTAACCATCCTAAATGTTGATTTGTTGTCCATAATGCATTTCACTTTCTTTTCTAAGTGCTCATGAATGTTCAATTCGATTTCATTCCCTTCCCTCTTTTGGAAATTAAGGATCACAATTTAGGATGGTGACCTTATAGAGATATGCCCACATCTTACTTTCTGCTTAGGAAGTCCTTTTAATCCTAACAGTTCATGCAACTTGATTCTAAATCTCGCTCTCTAGTATTTGTCCTGTTGACAGCCATGTCTGCATATTGCAGATTTTGGCAATTCTACATGATACGAAAGTTTTGAATTGATGATGTGTCTACCATCATGATTTCTAAACCCTAGGGTTTGAATTTCCTCTTATTCAAACTAAAGAAATGTAAGAAAAGAGATCTGAGACCAGAGAGTAATCAAATTTCTGTAGTATCAGATGCAACTTTTGTTGCTTATTTAAAATAGGCACTCTTTAAAAAAAAAAAAAAAAAAGGCATAATGCCCTTGATAGTCAGTTAAACAATAAATACCAACTGGTTTGAGCTTTTGGCTCAACATAATAGTTTATATGAATTGGTGCCTAAAAGTTTTGCTTGACATTCTATTTCCCAGGGACTGAGACCGGATCTTCCCAGTACTGGACACCCAAAGCTGTTGGAATTAATGCAGAAATGTTGGGATGCAGATCCTTCCAATCGGCCTTCCTTCTCTGATATAATAGCTGAACTTGAATATCTCCTCCAAGAAGTTCAGGTAGGACAATCCCTCTCCTCACTTTTTTCAGGTCTCATTGCCCCTCGTTCTCTTGGCCCCACAGTGAACTAAGATACATGAAATCTCAGGAAATTTCGGAAGCTACCAATGGCGCTTGAGACGCTGGGTTTTAAGATGTGTGTATCTCAGGAAATTTCTGAAATTATCAAAACTTCTCTTTTTGCAACATTCCGACCGGCTTTTTTTAGGCGTTTGGGATTTGGATGAGGCTTTGTTTTCTCTGTTTGTTTTTCACATAAATATAGAGGCTATATTATTGTACAATCGAGGGAAAGAGAAAATCACAGAGACTGCGAAACACAATGTCAATAGTGCATGAAGGTCTGTATTGCCTGTTGTAAAACTCGTCAGTAAGCAAACACCCAGTTGAACGTTGATGTAAAGTATTCTCTTTTTGAGTAATGGGGATGTATAAACTTTAGTAGATATGTGCATCTAAGTAAGTAGAAAAACGGAGAAAAATACAAGTTTGAAGAGGAGTGGATTGTATTGCAGTGCAGGTGTTTCAACTAGTGCACAATCTATTCTCGTGTATATTCCAGTTACAGTTTTCAGTTTGGTCAATTTCATTTTGCCCTTATTTGCTTCTTCCCTAGTCTAGATTTCCCATCATCTTCTTGCTTGCGAGTTGTAACTGATTTATGTTCTCTTATTTCTAAGAATATGCAAGTTAGCTGATTGATTAATGAATTTGATATTTATATTTTAGGAATTTAACGGTTGGTGCTCGTAACATTTTGGCCTCTCACTCCCTTTCTTATTTCCTCCTACTTTCTTTTGGGTCAGAAATTAACAAGAAGGTGCTTCGTTTAATGAACGAAATCAAACAAATCTTTTTGTACAAGGAATGCGAGGGAAAATAAGCATAGGTTGAATGCTACTACTTAAAATCGAAAGTTTATAACCATTTTTAGCTTTTAGCTTTTATAGTTAAAGACAGTCTTACCCTTTGACGGTTAACTTAATTTAACTTGGTGTGCGAGTGCATGTAATAAACGAACCGTGCGAAGCTTGAGAGCAATAATGTTAAAGATACCAAGTTTATATTATGCATGCAGCTTACCTTGAATAAGAAACCTACTACAAACATTAAACTTTGTAAGGGGTTTAGAGCTCAAGTGATTAGGAGTATTTGTCCATGCACCAAAGATCTTATGTTGGAATCCCCTCAACCCACTATCACTTGTATAAAGAAAACAATTTTAAACTTACATTAACTTTAAGGCTTATTATCACAAAACTCCCCTAAGGTTTACGAAACTATCAGATTGCATCCTTAATGTTTTTTTTTGTCACTCATGGTCCTTAACGTTATGTTCCGTCAAAAACTCCGTTAGTGTGCTAACGTGGCATATATATATATATATATATCATAAAACATCCCTGAGGTTCACGCACCTATCACAAATGCTCCCTGCGAAAATTTTTAATTTGAAATTCATAAAAATTTGGTTTTCTTTTTAAAATTTTATGAATTTTAAATTATTTAAAAATATATATTATATTTTAAATACATGTGACACTATATTATTGTAGATGTGGGCTCCATATATATGTCACATCAACAAACTAATGGCGTTATTAAAAAATAATTTAAAATTCATAAAATTTAAAAACGAAAAAACTAAGGGTTTAGGGTTCATAAATGGTTCTCAAGATTAAAATCCTTCTATAAATGGTTTTTTCATTTATAAATAATTTAAACCCTAAACCCTAAAAATAACACCAAAATTTTATGAATTTTAAATTAAAAAATTCGTAGGGACCATTTGTGATAGGTGTGTGAACCTCAGGGATGTTTTGTGATATATATATATATATATATGCCACGTCAGCACAGTGACGGAGTTTTTGACGGAACCTAACGGCATGAACCATTTATGATCGCACATACTAACCTTGAGGACCATGAGTGACACAAAAAACCATTAAGGATGCAATCTGATAGTTTCGTAAACCTTATGGGCGTTTTGTGATAATAAGCCTAACTTTAATAATGAAATAATTTTCACTCTTATTTTACACTCCTCTTGTTTTTGTCTTTTGATTCTCCTTTAATTTATTCACTCCTAAGGCTAGAAAAAGAGGAATGAGTGAATGGGGAGAAAAGGGGAGTGTGAAATCCATTTTTTAATATACAAGCGATATTTAAGATGAGGGAATCGAATCGAACCGAAGACTTCGGTGCAGAGATAAATGCTCTTAATCATTTAAGCTATAATCTCATTGCAAAATCCTTCCCTTTTAATATTATGGGATATGATCAATCTAAACATGCCTGCAATCAAGTTGCTGATTAAAGGTTATCATGACCAGGACCTATTCAATCTAAGTTGGGGCAATGGGAACTTGAATGAAAGCCCGCTCAAGTTGGTTATAACAAATATCCTAAGTTATACAATTTTTTCTCACACTCCAATCCGAACTTTGACTGAGAACCAGGCGTCATTGAGTTTGTTTATCTTCTTTATATTAGTGGTAAACGTTTTTACTCGGCTTCAGATTCCATTCAATCATAAACCTTTGACTTTGTGGATGCGTTAATAAACACCCAGTTGTAAGTTGGGAAACAAATATTTTCTTCATCTTCCCGATGAGTAACAAACACGTACGTATGGAAATGGATTAGTTGGCTTTGTTTACTTCACCCTCCTACCTAGATTTCCGATTTCATGTTTTTTTTTCCCATGTTGTCCGGTAATCACCTACTTTGTAGTTTGTACCTTGTACTTTATTGGTTATCAAATTCGTCGTCCAACATGTTCTGTTTGTCAAAACCATTGACTTACAGATTAATTAACCTGAAATTTTTAACATTAAAAAAAACAAAAACAAAATGGAATTTGGCCTTCCATTTCCAATTTCCACGTGAGTCCTGGAGTGATCGTCGGACACGCAAGAACATTTCCATGGTTGGCTCAGCTGCCGACAAATCCATTTACAGCTAAACCCAACCCAAAAATAATGGGTGAAAAAACGAAGTACGACAAATTAAAATGATGAACAAAGTGCATGTACAACGTTTACTTTTATTTGTTTACTCTGTTGTTGCTTCCACGAAATATTATAGTAATAAATTATCCTGTGACCTGTCCCTTCTTTAGGGTAAATTTTGATTCTCTCGCCGCCTTAAAAGGAAAATTGTTTTCATTTGTTACTATTAATTTGTCCAATAGAAAACTAAAGTAGTTGATGTGAAAGTCTTTCATTCCTACCTTCTTAACACAATGCCCTAACCTAGTTTTATTTAGACGTGTGTAGACTTTAGGACCTAAACAAAGATTATCTTTAGATTGTGACTCGAGTGAATTTTATTTATTTATTTAGAGAAAGCGATAATATTTTATTGATAAAATAAGAGAAGTAACTAGTTAGTACAGAAATCATGTCATATCGTTAGAGATTAAGCGAATTTCTCTACGTATACAAGCTCAGTCGTTAGTCTAAACTAAATACTTTACGACTAAATAAGTTAGATATGTGCCCCTTTATCACAATTTATTTATCCCTAGAGGGGAAAGTGAAGTGTCTGAATTTTCAAGAAGAGATTGATCTTGACCTGAATTGTATCGTTACCAATAGTCAATCCAGCCCCACTACAATTATTTCATATCAACGGTCAGTAATTGTCCAGAACAAAAATACAGTCTTTTCACGTGTTTCCCGCAAAATCTACTACCATCAGCTTTGAGATTGGCAAAAAAATATACGCAGTTGATTGAATCTGGCTGGAATGTTGGTAATGATACAATTTTGCTCCGAATATAAAAAATAAAAAAATAAAAATTTGGTCTTCATTTTAATTTCTAAGCAAACTCAATCGTATTGTTACCAACATTCCAGCTAGATTCAGTTCAACTTTCATATATTTGTACAAAGAGTGTTGTTAAACGAACTTTATAATTAACTCTTTGCATGAAATTGTTATTTAAGACAAAATGATGCGTAAATAAGCTACTAGTCACCCCACTGGTACTGATCCAAACATATCGATCCTCTTCACCGTTAACTTTTGCTTTGCTTCACCTAGTGTACTCGATTAATTTTAAGGTTCGTTTAGCAGCAGTTTTGTACAAATTATACTTGTTTGGAGAAATTAAAAAATAAATCTCATAAATCTTGACACATTATAGCACCCTCTTACAGATGGATGCACATGCGTTCAATGATGTAACGAGAGACGACATTAATTACATACAACAACCTTGATGTAGAAGATCGAATCAAGATCAGAAGCTACCTAATCCACATGCACATTAATTAAGATTATATTGATTAGATTATCTTATAAGGAAATGGTTTAAGTTAATTAATTACAACTTGATGCTGAAAACGACAGTTACAATGGAAACTCCAATTCCTTTTCGTTAAGGGAAATTGGTCAGATGAGATGTTGTGACTGGCAAGTTTTAATTTCTAGTCTGTGTAGGAACTTGACCATGCATATGCATGTACATCATGTATTGTTGGCATGAGTTGGATGTGTTTTTTTTGTTGCTTTGTAATTGACTTTTTTCAGTGTAATTATTAGGTTTTCGTTTTTTTTCTTGTAGCATACCGCGCAAGTCATGTAATGTAACCTTCAATATTTGTCTTCACAAGCCAACGAGATCTAACCTAGTTAAAAAGGACATTAACTTGCAAACCAGTAGTCTCAAATTCAAAAAAGAATAGACATATATTGGACATAATGACGACCTGCATGCACGCTTGATTGTGAATATGAACAATTTTCAACTAGTATGATTATGTTACGTAAACGTGATTTACACATATGTTCTGCTAAGAATCAAGTATCAATCAATACATCTACAGTTTGGTGTTTATGTACATATTCAAAGTAGTGTATCCAATAAAAGGACTAAAGACACTGCGGCGGATTTAATTGAAAACATATCATATCTGATGATGAAAAAATCTAACTACTCAAAAAAGAACGGCCATCATATTTGACAATATAAAAGCTTATTAAATCGTCTACATTAATTCCCACAAATTATAATTTATTGGTTAAAGGAAAAGGCAGAAGAATCAACTTTTAGGTATATACATGGACCACTACAAATGATCGACGGTCTTCTTTTTCCCTTCAAAAGTTTTAACACCAGATGATGAGATGATATTTGCTACTATAGTTTCTTTTTAGGTGAAGGGAAAAGGGAGTATTCCAACTTTTTGCTTCTCTCTCTCTCTCCATCGATTTATCTTGATTCTTCGAGACCCCATTTCCCAACGAACGAGAAGCTTGCTTGCTTGCTGTTGCAAGCTGGGAAGAATTGGTCACGTCTCTGTTCTTCTTATACATTTTACTGCAAGTGGGACTGTGTGGGAAAAAAGACAATCTCCAGTTTACATTGGAATCTTTAAAATGCAATGTAAAAAGAACATCTGACAACGGACGAGACAATAACCACAAGAATCCAATGCAACGAAAACGAGTTCTCTATGGAAAATTCAAAATCAATATACATTTGATATTTTTATAGAGAGAGTATTTTTTTCATCAGGTTAACTCGAGCTGTACTATCACTAACTTTCTTAATACTTGACATGTGTTTATGGACATAATCATGATTCTACAAATACAAAACAAAGAGTTAACAAAAGTGCTGCATTTTGATGATCCATAATTACATTGGATAACAGCCTAAATTAATATGTCAATTCATGACTTACCAAAACAGAAGGGAAATATTGCATTCGTGAATTAGCGATCAGTAGAAATTTATTGTACCAAAATTTTTGGAATGAGGCCGAAAACCATTTAATATAGTTACGGACTCTGACTCTGAGAATCTGACATATACAGAAATTGCCCATTTCCACGGACAAGGGAAGATAGATAATTGTAACGTACAACTCACGTGTAGGGCTTGTAAAGTTAAAAATTATGTCTCTTCCACCATAAACAAGAACAATGTAAAAAAAACTAACCACTAAAAAAAATTATGATTGCCTTCATAATTCAATCAAAAAAGTCATTAGCCATAAATGGCCAATACAAACTAGTTATAAAAGAGTAATTAGAATAACGGAGCGGTCTAACATCAAAATTAAGACAATTTGATGCGCATCTACTAATGATCACATATGATTGAAGAAATTGTGGCATAAACAGTCTAACTAAGCTTGCAAACTTAAAATAATCAAAAAGAAATAAAGCTTGAAAAAACTAAATCATAACAATACAAATAAACTCTCACAGAGGAGAGATGAAAGGTTCGAGATATAGGTTTAAAACTTTGGATTTGTTTGAGACTGTTTGTTACATCGTTTTATATATCAAATCGAAAATAAAGCTAACGTTATCCACATCTAAAATATATGTAGGGTAGTGCCCCTATTATCTTCCTACCAATCTCAAAAGACTTTAAACATCATTAAATTGATAAGGTCCCCACAATTTGATTAAGAATCTGGACTTACATTTGTTGTACCCCACTTTATGAGATTATGTCCCCATTCAATGCTTAATCGATACCGAACATTTTGTATCATAGCATTTAAAATAACCAAAAAGAAATTAGGAAGAAAAAAAAGAGGAAAATTATTGAACTAATAACTTCACCTTCTACAATATTTTCTAGTGCAGGTGGAGCCTAATATTTATATAAAATAAACAATCCATTTTCGGTCACGATGACTGGCCAAATGAGGCAAATCCCCTCTGCTCAAAGTTTTATCAGTTTGAACGACAGCCATTGAAACAACTAATTTTCTGAAATCTCTCACCTCACTGTCTTGAGGATTTTTTTATATATTTGATTTTACCAAACCTTCAAAAGAAAATTGACAACCAATATATTTATTTATTAGTTTGCATGACTACTATCATATCATATGCCAAATCAATCTTTGTTTGCATGACTACTATCATATCATATGCCAATTTCTTACCAATCTCCACTATATTCACGACCGCCTTAAATTTGTATCTAATATTGAAGGCTATCCACGTATATGTATATGGATATCAGTCCCTTTCTATTGAATGATTATTCAAATAATTTTCTTTGACGGACACCATTTAGGATAGCTTATGAATTTTTTTTTAACGATCCAAAACATTTATTTTTCACGTCTTCATTCAAAGCTTATCCTTACAAAAAAATCATGCAAATTGAAAATTATTAAGGCTTCTAATTTAGACCAACAAAATCAATAAACACGATGCTTTAAGAAAGTACATAAATTTCAATAATTTAATTGAGTGATCAAATGATATTGGATTAAAGTGATTTTTTATATAGAGATGATCTTTGAATGAATATCTACAAAATAGATAGTTTGAACTAGTGAAATACAATGCTGAGTGTCCCTCAAATATTTGAGGGATCTTTCAACAAAAATTCTCAGTATATATTATATATACACAAACATACACACCAGACTTTCTCTGATTTAAAGAACATGAATAACGTTATTGTGAAGTCACATCACTACTCACTCCACCATGCAAAGTTAATGGAATTGTAAGCAACTTCACTTCAAATTCCATTTACAAGATTACTTAAAAGGACAGGTACTGAATTACTCAAACACGTACCGCCATGGTGACCCCATAATACATAAATAAAAGATCGAAATTTCAACCCACCAGATTTGAGAAAAACTTCAAAATTTATCGATTATTAAAATCTGAATGACATAAAGAAAAAAAATTTCAAGTTGCTTCAAATACCAATCCCAAATCCTAAAATCTCTAAGAAATCTAAGTAGAATAGGAAAAGAGAAAAACTTTGAAAATTTACTAAAAACTTATTAAAATGTTGCTTTAACCTAATATCGACCTTATTTGGAAGAAAAAAAAATGCTATTATTATTAGAGAGAAGCAGTGAGTATGAATAAATGTAACCCGTAGCATAGGAAGAAGTAATTGGAAAACAAACATTGTTTTTTTGGAAAGATATTCTTACTTTGTGTAAATTACAATTTGACATATTTACAGATATTTCCGTTTTTGTGTTTTTGATGAATTATTTTCTAAGAGAAGAAAATAATTTCTTATTGAAAAGCTCCTACTTAATTACAACCCAAAACTATAGATAACTGTGCACCAGCTTGCAGTGCAGAGAATAACATAAGGGTATGATTTAAAAGTGTAGCGTTCTGAACTTGAGCTATGCCATGAGAAGAAGACAAACTGAGCCTTGTCAGGGCACAGTTGCTCTGCATTCCACCATTATTTGCAGGCTTTATTTGAAAAAAAATTAAAATTTACTCACTTAGAGAAGAAAACATTTCTGAATCTTGACAATTGTACATCTGTTTCTATTTTTTCAAGAACGTTCGTGTATTTTATTCTGGCAAGGTAATTAACAAAATTTTCTTGTGTCTAGAATGAACCGAAGATGTCTAGAATGAACCGAAAATTCGTGGAAAAAAGTTGTTTTTTTCTCTTCTTAATTTTAGGCTTTCATTTCCATTCTACTGTTGGGAACTTAAAAATTGTGATCCATCAGATCGATTGTCGAATTGCTTTGTTGTCCAATAATAATTGTTACATCCGACAGAAACTTGATGTTGCCAGTTGAGCGTAACAGAGGATGCATATGCAGATACAATTTTTTACATACATGTAGGGCAATCATAATCATGTACAATCTTTTAATTGGAGGAAGCAGAATATATGCATGATAAGGATATCCAGGTTGATTCTTTTTGTGACACGTTTTTAATTTAACATTTTCAATTGCATGGAGTGGCCCGCACTTTTTATCTGTCTAAATATTTTATAATTATTTATTTTACAGAAAGGATGAGATTTAATCACCAGGAAAAGAAGAAAGAAATCTGAGAAATTATAAGGAAAATTTGGGATACGTATTTATTTTATTATTATGATGATCTCCTCTCCATTAGGAAGAAGGTTGAAATAAACGACAATACATATGGCATCTCTTTTGAGAAATATATAAAATAAACAAGTGCACTACAACTGTCTAATAAAAATACAACATCTGCATAAATAAAAACGTTACATCAACTGCGGAGACTCGATCTTCTTCTTTTTTGTAGGTTAAGGCGCTTCGGCTTCGACAGCCCCTTCTTTATTTTGACCTGGTCTTCACCTTACCTGCAATATGGACATAGTATTGTTAGGTCTCTGTCATTTGTCAATTTGTTACTAAATATATCAATTCATCCTAATCAGTAATGGCATTAACTTGGTTCCGATTCGCAGTGTAATTAACAATGTAAGTACTTTTTTGTTCAAATACACAGATTCTCTGATAAGATAGTTACAGGCTGACAAGGTAATGTTAACTCAAGTAATAAAAACAAGAATGGAGAACTTACCAGCTGGATGCAGTCTAGCTCTCATTATCTAGTAGTGGTGAGGAGGTGGGGGTGATGAGTAGATGTAAGGGTGGTGGTGGTGCGGTGTGAACTGGAGGAGTTGGTGGCTTGTATGGTTTCTTAGGTGGTGGGGGTGGTGAGTAAACTGGTGGCTTGTAGACTGGTGTGGGTGGTGGGGGAGACTTGTAGTGGTAAGGCTTCTTGGGTGGTGATGGTGGTGGTGGAGACTTGTAGTGGTAAGGATGCTTGGGTGGTGAGTAGACTGGAGGAGTAGGAGAAGGTGGTGGTGGTGGAGACTTGTAATGGTAAGGCTTCTTGGGTGGTGATGGTGGTGGGGGAGACTTGTAGTGGTATGGGTGCTTAGGTGGTGAAGGTGATGGTGGTGGGGGAGACTTGTAGTGGTAGGGGTGCTTAGGTGGTGAAGGTGATGGTGGTGGTGGAGACTTGTAGTGGTAGGGGTGCTTAGGTGGTGAAGGTGATGGTGGTGGGGGAGACTTGTAGTGGTAAGGGTGCTTAGGGGGTGATGGTGAGGGTGGTGGTGGAGATTTGTAGTGGTAGGGATGCTTAGGTGGTGATGGTGAGGGTGGTGGAGGAGACTTGTAGTGGTAGGGGTGCTTAGGTGGTGAAGGTGATGGTGGTGGGGGAGACTTGTAGTGGTACGGGTGCTTAGGGGGTGATGGTGAGGGTGGTGGTGGAGATTTGTAGTGGTAGGGATGCTTAGGTGGTGACGGTGAGGGTGGTGGAGGAGACTTGTAGTGGTAGGGGTGCTTAGGTGGTGAAGGTGATGGTGGTGGGGGAGACTTGTAGTGGTAAGGGTGCTTAGGGGGTGATGGTGAGGGTGGTGGTGGAGATTTGTAGTGGTAAGGATGCTTAGGTGGTGAGGGTGAGGGTGGTGGGGGAGACTTGTAGTGGTAAGGTTTCTTTGGTGGTGGTGGTGAATGCACTGGGTGGTACGGCTTCTTGTGTGGAGGAGGAGGAGGAGGAGACTTGTAGTGGTAAGGTTTCTTTGGTGGTGGTGGTGAATGCACTGGGTGGTACGGCTTCTTGTGTGGAGGAGGAGGAGGAGGAGATGAGTAGTGGTAAGGTTTCTTTGGTGGTGGTGGGGGAGATTTGTAGTGGTAAGGCTTCTTGGGTGGTGGTGGTGGGGATTTGTAGTAGTAAGGCGCCTTTGGTGGAGGAGGTGAGTGTACTGGAGGAGGAGGAGGTGGTGGGGATTTGTAGTGGTAGGGATGCTTAGGTGGTGAGTAGTGCACTGGAGGAGGAGGTGACTTGTAATGGTAGGGATGCTTAGGTGGTGAATAGTGCACTGGAGGAGTAGGAGAAGGAGGAGGTGGTGACTTGTAATGGTAGGGAGGAGAAGCTGGTGGTGGAGGAGATGAGTAAGGGTAGTTTGCTGAGGTTTCTGATGGCAAACTGAGAGAAACTATAGCCACTAGGAGAGTGACCACAAGAGAAGTCACTGATGAAGATCCCATTTTCCCCATCTTTTTTGTTAAGAAGGGGTTTTTGGTTTTCTGCCTCTTAAGCTAAGCCTCCCTCCCTTTATATAGCTTTGGTCTTTACCCTTAACTCTGGGGTAATCATGCCAAGTTTCACTTGCCAATGATCAAATTATCTTAGTAAAAACAAGATTAATGTTAAAATAACACTAATGGGCCACCCTTTGTTTGAACAGCTTATCAATTACAATATTTGACCAACGAAGCAGCCTTGACTGGATTTTGTTTAAGCCCCCCTTTTAAAAAAAATAATTTATATCTTGCTTGATGGAATAGAAGCTTCAAGGTAATTAAACACTAAAACAAGAGAGGAATATGTTAAGACTTCAGAAGGATGAATCTGTGACCTACTACTACAAAACAACATCGATACTATCTTCAATTTAATTACATGTATTGTTCGTGTGAAATTTTATAAAAATGTTATTAGTAGTTAAATCACTCATATTCTTCGACTGAATGAACCTATTATCACCTAAGGGTGTGACCCTTTTTACTTGAAGGCAATTTAATGCAATAAGAGTACGTGGGGGCAGAACATCAAGCTTTATTCAATAAAAGTATAATATCTAAACCACAAGTCTTCCCTTGTCTCTGTAATATTTCTCATGATACGTAGACAAGTTTGAAAAATGTGTGTGGTGGCCTAACTTTCTATGATTTTTGCTCTACACACAGGGAGGGACCGGGCGGCGGCAACTCTCTCTCTCTCAAATGATCCAAAGCTTTACTACGTAGGCTGTCACATTCGCACAGCTTTAATTAATTTTCTGGAATTTCTCTGACTCTGGAGGTTTAAGATAAGCCCATTTGCCTTAATCATGCATGTTAAGGACTAATTAATCATTTACAGATACGAACTAGTTGTTCCAAACAATTACCGATGACTAATAAAGAACGATAAAATGCTTAGTTAAGTATGTTTAGTTGGGCATTAAATCGCATTATTCTGACCACCGCAAGAATGAGAAAATACTTCCAAGTTCCAACTCGACAATGGAATAATCAATCCCACTTCATTTCAATTATCATGGTGAGCTGTTGAGATAATATTAATTATATTTTTTGGTAGCAATTATTTTCCAAACAGTTCCAGCAGAGCAGGATGGCTTGCATCAAGTCTAGATCTGCACCCTTTTGACACTTTCACGTCCCCATACAAATCCACAATCATTCATTTCAATTTTGATGTAAAACAAATTAAGATTTCAAAAGGACCGATCTGCGGCCCACTACTACTAATGTCGATACTGTCCTCAATTCAACTACCTGCATAATTTAACAAGTGTGGAATTTTATACAAAAGACATCGATGCTATTAATAATTGAATCATTTATTATATGTTGTATTTTATTCTGTTAAATTTCTCATATGTGACTTTATATTTTTTTAAACATGCAATCATAACGATACAAATGAATCATTTTTTCTCTTTTTACTTTAATTTCTTTTTATGTTTTAGCTAATAGTACACCAAACTTTTCTTTTTGTGGGGATTGTGTGGTACTGTTGCCCCAAAGTTAATGCGGACAAGGAGTCATAGGACAACCTCGATCCATCTTCACAATCAATGCTAGGTTAGTGGTGGTCCTATGGCACGTGACATCTCACGTGATTTTAGTCAAAATGTTAGTTATCCACATCCTTCTTTAGGTGCATGCTAACAGGAGTGGTAGGTGAAGACTGAACCCTTGCTACGTAATCTCTTTTAGCCCATAGAGAACGATGGAAGAAGAGTCATTATTGGCTTTTGACTAGTTTCTCAGACCTCTGTGTTAAAAAACAAATAGGGAGAAGGACTATTATACTCAATATAGGAGTCTAAATTAAAAAAAAAAATATATATATATATAAAATGAATTTTAAAAACACACTCAAAGTTCATTTACAACATAGCAAAGAAGCTTTTAGCTTTTCTAAATTACAAAACTGACATCGATTTCTTAAAACAAGCCCAACCCTAAAACCTCATTAAAAAAAACCCAAAACACTCAATAGGGCATCAAAGTAATTTAATAATCAAAATTAAATTTAATAGGGTCATCTGTTACTTTTTGGGGTTTGTTTGGGATTTGTTTATAGAAATTAAATTGTGTAAAGTTTATCTATATCATTAGTGCCAAGAATGGGTATATGAATAAATATTTATAATAATAAAATACTACACAGAGAAATTGAAACCATGGAGTAATTTGTATATAAATGGTATATAAAAAAAGACAGCCAAGAATTGAAGAAGAATATGAGGGAAGGTTTCTCAGCCAGTACTTTTTGTTTTTTTTTCAATACGGAAATTGACAGTCACCTTTCATATTCATGTTGTAGCTTTCATGGTAGCTAGCTGGAGTTTGTATAATTTTTACCTTAATGTGCAAATGTGGTCAAACACATTTTAAATACTAATCTAGTTTGGCTCCTATTGAATTTCTTGCATCACTAGCTACTAAATAAGTCTTCCTCATCTCGACAAATTAGCTTGTGTATAAATATACATATAAAAAACCAATTATGCACATTGATGGGGTAAGTGAGATTTAAAAAAATAAAAAAGCAAAAGTAGAAGCACTTGAATTTTCAAAAAATAAAAAATTGGGCTGGGCCAGGTTAGATGGCATGTGATTTGAGACAAATCTAAATCTAGAAGCTTGTCTGAAATGAGAGAGGTGGAGAGCTGAGTACCAAGGAAGTGGAGCATTTTGATTTTGATTTTACTTTTTTGTTCTAAAAAATCTTGCAGATCAAAGGTCTTAGGTTCGAATTCTCACGACATCATAGCTGTGTGTGTGAGAAATCTCCCTATTCTCTAATTTAAACCATCGCATACTAAAAAAGAAAAGATACATATGCTTTAAAAATCAGTGTGTGAATATGGGGGAAATTGGTCAATTTTACAGCACATTTTGGCTAAAACAATATTTTCTGAACATATACATGTGCACCGTTTAAGATCCTTGAGAATTGGTCCTAGTATTATATGGCTTTGGTTCTTCCTTTTTGCCATACTTTCTTGCTTTTTGTTTTTCTTGTTATTTTCTAGTGTCGCTTTGTTTGCCAAGTTGCTATAGAAAATGCATTTGTCAAATTTATCCTAATTGGTTCTTTGAGTCCAACAATGACAAGATGTGGATGATCCTCGAACAAGCATACGATACTTCCTTTTCTTCTGCGGGTCTTCTGCGCTTTAGCTCTTCTCCCTGCTCAGTCCCTCTCCTCGAAGTTTAAAGTTTGTATTTTTCCTCTTAGTCTTATGCATATATTAGTTCTTTCTAAAAAGTCTTCCCCTTTAAAGGGATCTCCATAAACACATTCATTCCCTATGAGTTATTGAGACCCAACATGTAATAATTATATGAATATACTACACCAATTTGTTATGCATGGACCATCGATTCGATTGATACGTATCCAGTTCAAATAGACTTATTTGGAGGTTCACACTCGAACTCTTGCCACTGATGTGTGAGGTGAGGGTAACTGCTCTATCATTCGAGAAAATAAATTTCTTTACACTCAACTTTGACCACTTTTTTGTATGCAATACAATGTATAAGCAATGATCCAAAATTACATTCTGTCAAGAGAACGTCCCTTTACGTAACAATATTTATATTGAACCTGTCATCATAATATGTATACCCATCCATATAAATTATAATTAGCTGATTAAAGAAGCATTTTGTTGTAGATCATATGGTACATACATATGTGATCATACATAATAAGCCTAAATTAGTTTTAGGGTTTTGATAATGATGATGATTAGAGTAAAAAGTCTCCTCCCAATGCAATATCAGCAAGTCGTTTTATTTTATTTCATTTTCGTACAAGAAATAAATATATTATCTCCAAGGCACCGACACGAAAATGAAAGCGTGAGAATGAGATTTTCATAGGCTGGGAGAAATTATAATATTTTGCTTTCGTGGACTGCATGATGCATCCAAGTCAAGAGAGCCAAGTGTCTTGGATTGTTTGTACCCAAAAAAATCAGATGATATAAATTTATATTAGGTATATATTGTGTATGAATTTCAGCACTCCGGTCCATATGAATACCTGTCTGGTCTGCCTGTGGATGTTTTGTGAAGGATTTATGGGTCCTGGACAGTTGTCCAACTTTTCAAACGTGATGGATGTGTACTCTGTTTTGCTACTTAAAGCTAAAGCATCTCTCTTTTTCTAGTAATTTTTCGGTGCGATCGTAACAGAGCTACGTAATGTTTATCAATTTTCTTAACGTGTGCATATCAATATGAGTAATTTTTCAATGCGATCGAAACACAGCTACGAAATACTTATCAATTTTCATTATGTACGTATATTAATACCAATCTTTATATTATAATATGTGAATTATTAACATTCGCATCTCACTATCACCTAACAAAAAATTCATATTTTTTTCTTAACCATGTAAACATGTTAGGCGTTTATTTTTGTTTTGGTGATTTAAAAATGCTAAATGTCGGGCATATTTCTAAGATGTTAGGTATATGCTGCTCAAGATTCCGTGAAAAGATTGAAAGCTTGAATTTTTTATAGTCTGAAGATTGAAAGAAAGAAGATTGAAAGCTTGATGAATTGATGCAATTGAATTGACATACATACAGTGCCACGTGGATCTTGTGGAATTTCTCTATTTTACCCTCCCAAAACACAAACACAAACATGATCTGTCAGTGAGTGCATGCATGGATAAAGTATCCAAAGTAGGATATAATTAAAGGAGTATTTTTAAAAAGTACTTTTGTTTTCTGATTGAAGAATTGGGACCCACACAGTACATGAAGGCTTCAATCCTTGCTTCCATGGTGAACAACATCTCACATTTTCAGTTCTGTACAGCAGCCTCAAAAGCAAGCAATGGCCTTATCAAGTTGTCATTCTAAAACCAGGGAAAAACAAACCCTTTGGAAATTGGAAATAATGGAAAAAGTAATTTAAGATTTTGTTTTTTGTTGTGTCCTCATGTAATAATTCACGCATGTTTTTGGTTCGTACATGGTTATAATTACGTGTTGTTCATTCAGACACTAATTATGTTTAACGATTCAGGTAGTGTTTGCATGCGCAGGCTTCTCCATAACAAATATGTATCTACCTAAATCAATCTCCTAAACCCGATTTTACCTAAAAATTTGTACGAGAGAAGGATAGTCCGGCCAATTATAGACTGTTATGTGAAAAAATTATCACACATAGCATAACGTGATTGGCCGAAAATAGCGAAATAATGTTACTCCTGTATCATGTAAATATTTTTCCTATTATACGTCTTCGGCAGGTCATAATTTCACCCATGGCCATGATTGTGGCAGATGTGGAAATCATAGGGGTAGAGGCCTGAACTTCATGCTAATTTCATGAAAGAGGAAATGGCTTTTCAAACAATAATATTTTATTTTTAAGGAAACTGAAAACGATAGTTAATCTTAATTGGCTATGTTGAATGTTGAATGTTGAATGTTTTCACTGCCATAAACCAAGTAAAAAAATAATAATGTCGGTTGTAGAAAGTCCAAAAATGAAACCAGTACAATTGTTTACTAACTAACCTTTGATTTAGTGATAGTCGACTTTACTTAGTTAAAGAATGTCTCAGATTCAGCTCACATAGATGACGAGAACAATGCATATATTTACGATGAGTTCGACACAACTATATTCATCATGGTGCAGAAAGCTTACATATATCCCTAGTAAATTTGTTATTTGAATGAAATAGAATCAATTAATCAAATCCAGTAAATGTGTGTTTTCCTGTGCTCTCCTCTCCCAAACTTTTGGGGTACCCCCTAATAAAGTAATTATTGTGTTTTGGCTGCACCGTAACGTTAATGTAGTGCCAAATGTAGTAATACCAAATATTTGGAATCATGGACACCAAATTTACTGACAAACCCAATTGGACCCGAGTGATATAAGCTTCTTTTGGTTTTGTTTTTTAACACTTGGTAGGTAGCCATACTTTTTTATTTTTGTAAAACTTTATTTTATTTATTTATGCTCGGGGAAGGAGGACTCGATCGTGGTGAGATTCCTTCCATCTAAATAGAGAGAACTGCTATATTTTATCAATAGTCACAAGTATTTTTTTGGTCTGCACGTCACACCGTCACATATTACAATACTAAAATATAAACTCATCGTCTACTCATATTTTATTAATTAGTAATATTACGTCACGGTGTGGTATCGTTTAGAAACAAAAGTTTCTCACATCACCGCACTTTCCTTTGTCTCTCAACCATGATTAACGCTGCATTAAATACCTATCAAATAAGAACAATAGACCTGGGCCCTATGGAGGAAGAAAATACCAAAAGACGACTTGGAAATATACCAAACCCAGACAATGCGTCTATCTAATCCAACTTCAAATTCTGAACCTATTCCATGCAACCACTTAATGCTGTGGGGGCAGCCCTACAAGTTACAACATCTCTTTCTGGTTTACCCTTTTTCTTTATTTGTCATCACAACTCTTTATTTAGCTAACAGTCATGTTCGAACGAAATGGAACCAACCCCATTGCTTAGACGTTTTCCTGCTTCATGAACTCAATAACCTCATTGCCCTAAACCAACTTTTCCCCCACCCCTTCTCTCCAATTTCGAAAAGGAAGTTACAATGGGAAAAGGACTAATGGCACCAAATGAAACCCACCAGGCCACATGGAATGCAAGTAATGACACCAATGAGACTTGCTCTCCTACCAAACCTGGCCCAGTTTCCCTACAGGCTCTACATCATCATCTAGGGTTTTAAATCAGTGTTAAGAAGAAAGAGGATCTATTTACAAATGCTCAAAATGTTGTGCCAAATTCATGGTAGTTGAAAACCAATTCATATTTCTTTTCCTTTTCTTTTGGTTTATACAAACGATATTGGAGAGGGGGCAGTCGAACACAGGATCTTAGATGCAAGGGTAACTGCTCTTAACTACTACAAGTCCCATGCTTTTTTTTAGCTTTTTTCATGCCAAGGAAGATGGAAGGGTCTAGCAACATAGGATTATGGGTCACAAATCACAACCTTCATTGAAGAGGCTAAGATCTTTCTTTGTAATAATTGAGACAAAGCTTGAAGTCCATGTGAGGTGTACATAAATTACAGACTAGCGAGCAGGACACTGGGCTAGTGGCTTAGCATTGAGAGGATGTATAGCAAAAGGAATAACTTACTCTCTACATACTGTTGTTGGCACCACAAGTATTTACTCCAAAATGGGAAGAGTGGATCAAATTTCTAACACACAAAACATGGCCATGCATTGTCTTTTCTCAGCAATTGATTTCACAGAGGATAAAAAACACACAATCTCTTTCAACTGACCATGATGCTCTGTGAGCTCTTCTCTAGACAACGCAAGTTACAATAGAAGACAAAGCTTTATGGTCTCCGCAACACTTGACAGAATCGAGTCCAAGTTCATAGACTTGGTTTCTTCGTTAGGGTCACAGAAAACATATAAATATGATATCTATAAGAGGAGAAAAACTTGGTTGCAACGGGGATAACATTATTTTGCTATCCCTGGTCAATAACACGTGGAAAAGTTATCATACATGTCATAATGTTACTGATAGGGGATAGCGAAACAATGTTATCCCCGTTTCATGCAAGTGTAGGATTGCTGCAAATCCCTATGAAATAAAACAAGGAAAAAAAAATTCAAAGTGGTGTGATACTCAACCCAAGGGAGAGTCAGATCCCAAGATCTTAAATCCAATTGTAAATCCTCAGCTAGACCTTGGCCACTTTTTGGACAAGGATCGGAAAATCGGCAAGCACTCCCTAATTTTAAAAATCCAACTCTTGGCCCATTAGGCTTGCAACATTCAGACGATTCTCAATCCCCCCTTGTGGAAGGCAGTGCTCCATGTTGCACTTACATAGCTCAAGTATTTCGTGTTCAATTTTCCAGATTCTTCCCCAATTCAATGTGGTGGTCCATTCTTTTCCATATGTATCTCCACTACAAGACAGAGTCCTTTTTCCGAAAATTCAAAACCGCAATTGTTCACTCGGATCGGATGTGCATCTGTCTATCCATGCTATTAGCATGTAGTTCAAAACGTCGAATGCATTCATCCAGACCAGTCAAACTTTAGAATTCAATTGCCATAATGTGTGAAAAGGAAGAAGGCATTCAGAATCCCTTATCTACAATAAGAATACAACACTTACTTTAAGAAATTGGGTAGAAATGGAAATGCAAAATCAGATATCTTTGTTTAATTATATAACTATGAAACTTTTCTTGACTTCACTACTTAGATACTATGCATTTCAAGTACTTACAATTAGTGCCCAAGCCTGAGCAATTTGACATTGTATATTTGGGGTACAATGTGGTTACCACTCCAGAAAGAAGCATACATATAGGCAATGTATAAAAGCTAATGCAATCTGCATTACTTCAACATAGATGTCTCTCATTACCTAATGCCCATTCACCTCTTACTACGGGATCCAGGTCCAGATCTTGGACCCGGGAACCGGGAAAACTGCAGCCGCAAGTAATTAGAATCAGGACTGTGTTCATCCATTTCATAACCTGTGAATCCAACCATAACATCAGCATCTATCAGCATTTCAAAACCACTTGCATGGGAAAATAAAAAGACCAATGCAGCTAGTTCTACAGGTTCTGAAATTAGGGCTAGCTATCACAACTTATGATTGCAATCTTAAATTGCCTAACCACTACTCTGTACACCTATTATGCCTGGAAGAATATTAGAATAAATCACCATGTACATGGTTGAATAAGTTACTAATAGCAAATAGCATTTAAGAAGTTATAAGGGAAAACAGAAAGAAGGATTAAGTTTCTTTGACAGTGATAACCGCAAGGTTGAAGACGAGCAAAAGCAATCACCTTGCAAGGCACTCAGAGCAGTTGCTGCATAGGCTGGACTTTCAAAGTCCACAAAACAAAGGATAAGAGGATCCCCACCACGCTGCATTATGGATAAACCAGAATATATGTGTGAAGACTAATTTCATACTTCCAAAAGGTAAAACCAAGTAATACAATGAGAATCCCAAATCAGGTAAACAAGAAAAACAAAATGACCAAGAAAAATACGTGTTTAGTTATCCACCACCCACATACATGTTTGGACTCTTTGCTCACAAGCCTCACTTCTTTATAGCCCACAAAAGGACGAAATATATCTTAAAGCAATGTAAAGGATGAATGATGTGAAAACTATTGAGTTAAACAATAAGATGTACAAGGGAAAGATCAAGTTAATTCTTGGGCAGAATGAGAAAGCCATCAAGGATACGAGCTACTTCTCTCTTTGTGCTGTCAGGAGGAAGTCCTTCAACATATAATGTGTTGGAAGCGTCTGGAGGTAAATGAGCTGTTTCACGTCCAGGCCTAGCCATTGCATCGACTGGAAGCTGATTAGCAAAACTCATATTTCGACCATTTGTTATTAGATCAGAAGCAATAGGTCCAGTATGACCCATCACAGAATGATCAGCCATTGGAAGGCCAACCATTCCACCACCAACAGCCCTTCCCAATCCAGTTCCACCAAAACTACTGGCTTCTCCAGAAGTATGTGAAGACATTTGCTTCAAAAGGAAGTAGTATAAATGTTTAGTACAAAAGCAGAGATATGTGTCATAAAGGCACTGTTTCAAATGCTCAAGAAAGTCACCACATTCTGAAGATAGTTGTCATATTCTGATCCAATTGATTTTGTATTCTTTAAGGCCCTAGGATCACCAAAATCATCATCTCGTGCCAAATAACTATGCATCTCATGACCTGAATACAGGCCAGGAGCTGCAAGGTCTGCAAAAGGTTAGTTCATAATTTCAGTACTAAACTTCAAAACTATTAAACAAGGAAAAACAGCAGATCGGAAGAGATTTTAAATCAAGAACTATATCGAGAAACATTAGAGAGATGCTGGAAGATACCCCTTCTAACAGTTAAAACCTACTATATTTAGTTTGCAGATTTAGTCCCAAAGTGGGGAACTACATATATAAGTACCAACAACTATGTGGTGATTAAACTAGTACAACTTCTTTTAAGGTTGAAAACTACAAACAGAAAATACCAATTGAAATATCTAGTTACAAATATACAAGGCTATGCTTTTTTTATGAGTGACTAAAAAATAAAAATAATTCAACAAAAGAAATAACTAAATAAGAAAATGAATTTGGTATCTAACTAAACTTATTTCATACGATATGCATCAAGTTATATTAGTCTATTACATTTATATCACAATAGTTGCATCATAAAATATGTATAGACCATCTCATTGCCATCATTATTGAAGAATAGCATTGGGATGGAAGACTGACCGCACTTAAAAGAACAGCATGATCCTACTTGATGCCATTTCAAATAATTGGAATTTGGTTAGGGTGGCGGAGGATCCATTCATAAGTACCTTGTAATGTTATTAGAAAGTTTAACTGATATTGTATTACTTTTCATTATCAAATAGGTCTCAACAGATGAAGTTACACAAACTATCAACATAACCTACCAGTTTTCTTCACCTTGAACATAATTTAACAGTGACTTTTAAAACTGCCTCCTAAATGGGAAATCATTCAAAAGTTGCTCTAATACCAAATCCAATAAATGACAGCGCTCAAGAATAATGGATTTAAGGGGAAAAAAAAACACAGAGTGAATAACTATGGTCTTGTTTTAAAGAAAAAAACTAGCTCAATAGAAAATAACAGCAGTCCTCTGGTAGCAAAAAATTCCACATGATTATTATATGCAAGCATACTGTCGATCATTATTCTTGTAAGATATAGGGCCGGGGCCCGGGAGCAAGCACACATGGAACTTTTTCAACCCTTGAATGCCAAAAACAATCGACATCACTAGAAAAATTTCTTAGGATAAAGTGAAGATCGTACTTCGGATGATAAGATCATGTAAGTCATGATGCCACCTAAGTTTCTATTGTACTCACAAAACAATAATTCCCGGACTCTAACAATTTGTCTTTTATGTACGAAGGGAGCAAAGGCCCAAAAACCATTTCATTGACTTAAACATAGTTACAATCCAAATTCAGAACCTAAGCTAGCTTTCATGTTATTTGAAGGAGGACGTCTATCCTGATCCAAAAATTACCAGGGAGAAGGGAAAGGTAAATAATTAAATCGTCTTTGTTTGATGAGCAATAGTGGATAATGACTCGTCCACTTCAGTAAACAACTCCATTTAGCTTCCCTGATATTCTCTATGACGGTGAAGGCTTAGTTTAGTTATTACACTATCTTATTGCCAATCTTTGCATGTTCATTACTCGTTCCTTGATTTTATATAGAAATGTCAAACTAAAACCTCCACACACACAGAAACCGCAACGATAGTTTACTTGCAGCCCATTGTCGACTGTGTAACAAAAAATCTAAGATGAATTTTATGATTCCAACACACAAAGAAACCCACTGATCAACCAAGAAAATTGCCCACATTTATAATACAAGAAATCAAATTTAAACGATTTGATGAAGAAGATCAATAATTCAAACCAATGCACGAAAGCACAAACAAAACACAGTTTATAATCACACAATTCAAACTAAATGGAACAACAAATTAAAAAAACTCCGTTCGACGTTACCAATGTTCTGAAAAAAGAAGAAGAGGGCGTACCATAGTCAGAACGAGGTCGTTTATGCACGCCACCGGAGGGACCCAATTGCCGCTGCCGGTTCCAGGGGCCGCCCCTCATTTTAATTTACCTGCAAATTTGTATTTAATGGACGGAATGGTGAGGAATTTCAGAAAAACAAAATCGTAAAAAAAGAACTAAATTTAAAAATATAAATAAAAGAACCCTAATTTGATAGAACCTTGTTGGTGGCGATTACGAAAACCGCAGAGCGAAAGCTTTTTCCCGCAACAGCTTTGCTGGATTTAAATTTTTCTGTATTTATTTCCAGTTTCTTTTCGGGCAGAAACCTCCTGCTTGTTCGAGTGTTTTTGACGTCGAAACTCGCCGACTCAGTTCGGCTGTGTATCGGTTCATGTTGATTCGCCGTGGGAGGGCTCATATGTTTTCCCTGGAAATCGAATAGAACTGCGCCACGTGGTCTCGAGTACACTTGGAACGCTCTGGTTGGCCACATAAACATAAACTGAGGAGTGGAGCCTTTCCTTTTCGAGACGACCTTTTTCTTTTTTATGGTTCCGGAATAGCCTTTCGGTTTTTGGTCCATGTGCTATTTGAAATTTCGAATTTCTTTTCTTGTTGGATTTTTTTTTTTTGGTGATTTCATTAATTTAGAATGGATTTTTTACACACTTTGATATCTATCCTGCAAGTACGGGCGGCACAGTTCGAATTGAACCGGTTTCACCTCAAAATCGAGATCAAATCGATTATAATATAACGGTTTAGTTCAATTTAGTTTTGACAAAAATCACAAATGAAATTGAGCCAAAAAAGTCTTAATTTTTTACATAATTGTTTCATGATTAAATCCTGCATCTAAACTGAGTCTGCAATTTAAAAATAAGAATAAATTTTGCTAATGAATAGGATATAGTCTACAATTTACTTATCAGCCTGTAGAATAGTACGCGAAGACAAAGTGCTACTCAAGGCCAGTTTACTAATCAGTTAACCACTCAGTTGGCGTCAAAAACTCCGGGTGCTGTGACTGCGAGTCAGGATTTGGAGGAGCTGGTATTTCTACTGTCCCTTCCAGCATCAGTACCACCTTCTTCATCGACGGGCGCAATGATGGCTCATATTGGATGCACCAAAGTCCTATCTTGATCATCCTCCCAATTTTAGCCTTGTCCACTTCTTCATCCTGCACTAGCTTATGTAATTCGTCGGCCTCCAAACAATGGTACACCCAGTTCTCAAGAACTACTTCATCCTCAGGAATGTCCATATACACACTTCTTCTACAACATATGATCTCCAACAACACAACCCCAAAGCTATATACATCTGCTTTCACTGTTATCGGCATGTTCCTTAGCCACTCCGGTGCAACATACCCCCTGGTTCCTCTGAACCCAGTATGTGTCCCGGTTTGCTCAGATTTGAGCAGCTTGGCCAATCCAAAATCTGAAAGTTTTGCGCATTTTCGCTCACTCATTAGTATATTTTCAGGTTTGATGTCACAGTGGATGATCTGTGTCTCACACTCTTCATGTAGATAAAGTATGCCTTGAGCTACATTGAGAACTATACCAATTCTTTCCTCCCAAGCTGGCCTTCCATCAGATCTGAAAAGGAAATCTGCAAGTGAGCCATTGGTCATGTACTCATAAACTAAAATCCTGTTCGATTCATCATGACAGTAGCCAAGCAATTTAACCAGATTTTTGTGATGGGTCCTCCCAATTGCATTCACCTCATTTTGAAATTCTCGCTCTCCTTCACCCACCACTTTCTCTAGTTTCTTGATCGCCACTACTCTCCCGCCATTTGACATGACCCCTTTATAAACTGTCCCAAAAGCTCCTTTGCCCACTTCATCAGTGAAACCTTTGGTTGCCTTTTCGAGCTCAACATATGTATACGATCGAAGAGTGACATCTTCAACGAACCCGCCATTTGCAGAATGAACCTTTTTGTACCCCCAAACACGATATCTGTAAATAACAACACCAGTAATTGCTAGAATAATAAGTGCAAAAGTTAACATTGCAACACCGCTAATAAAGATGTCTGTTTGAAGTTGTTTGTTTCTTCCCTTGCTCACAGTTTTTGTCCCTGAACTCTCAATGCCAATTTTGACTAGGGTTGAAGCAGTTTCATCAGTTCTTCCATATCTTAGCGGAAACCTCTGTTTTCTGCACTTATTGTCCTTATGTACTGCAACTTCACAGTCACAATCTCTCAAGCAATCCTCTTTACAAGCAGTCTCATTCAATGTGAGAACGGAATATGGGTTGTCTTCCCATTCAAGGCCATCAAGATCAGTCATGGAATATCTAGTTTCAATCTTGTTCGCGCAATCAACGGTACTGAAGTTCCTCCTGCAACCTAAATCTTTTTGGTCTTGATCAATGAAAACAAAACCGGGAAGACATAAACAAGGGGGATCCTCCTCTATGGGAACACAATATGCATTTAAGCCACAGAGGCCCAGAGGAGCACACTTATCAGAAGGTGATGAATACTCAATTGACCATGAATCATTCGGAGTCAAACTATGGGAAAACAACCGAAGTATTCCATCAAAGTCAATCGTTAGACGGTATACACGGTTGTCAGACAGTTGTGTCTGATTAGTAATATTCTTTATATAGAAACCAGTGGAATTGAGAAGATATAGCTGTCCATTGTGATCAAGGTTCAGAGACACATTGTCTCCAGCTGTATATGTCTCAGTATTCCAGTAAGCATACTGAGGTGTTGTTGAAATTGGATTCACTGGGTACTGCAGCAGGTTCCCATCATGCTGCATGGAAAGTTGAAACCTTCCGGTGGCGTGATTCGTGGCAGAGATGCTAGAGACAAGATTCCTCCCAGCCAACAGACACTGACCAGATAAGATGGTATCCGTTGGAGCATCAAAACTCTGCCAAATGATCTTTGCATTTGAGTTGTAGAGGACAAAGTTACCAGAATCAAGCATGGAAGCCCATGCAACAGGCTCAGTAATATTTGAAATAGGTGGTGATAACCCTTGCTTATCTTGTAAGATGACCTTAATTCCTTCATCACTCAAAAGCAATTGAACATCATTGGAGCGTGGCAGCTTAACATCCCGGTTTGCTGTCCATATGATTGTTCGTGGTTGGATTTTCTCAAACCATATGCCTATGGCCAAGTCATTGCCTTCTCTGTAGAAGCCGAAGGCAAACTGGCCCGAATTCGATAACCATTGTGAGTTATTGGGATAGAGAGAAGAACCTAAGCTAATGTTGGAAGTTCGTGGTTGAGCGGCTGCAAAAATAGAGAATATAGTAAATGGAAGAAGAAATATCAAAGTTGCAGACATTGGTTGAAGTTTTTTCTTGTTCTTTGGGGAGGCTTATTTTTCTCATATAATTTTAATCTGCAAGATAGCAAAGTATGTATCTTGCATTTATCAACTTCAAGGCCTCAATCAAAGGAAGTCAAAATTCCAAATCTTTTAACCAAGTCAAAATTCCAAGTCTTTTAACTTAAAGTCTCCAAAGAGAGTGGAGACCAGAAATTGGTTCCTGTTTTCCAAGAAGAAAAATGTCTTTGGAACGGCAAAGCAGGACAGGATTATCACCACATCTAATCCAGATTAGCAATAAAGTCAACACACATGATTGTTTTATCTAGAGCCATGAAAAGTTTCAATGTCCACACCAATTGTTCTGCCGCTCTAATTCCGACTTGGACACATACATTTCGAACGGTAATGATCTTATTAGCTCAAATCTGTTGATAAATTATCCACCAGAAATTCCCATGAATAATTGGAGGACAATGACAACTGGGGTGGGGTTTATAATCTCATTAGTTTTTCTTTTTTTGGTCTAAACAAAATTTATTGTTCCATCCTAAGATTCTGAGGGGTGGTCCAAGCTCTTAATAAGCTATTCCAGAATTTGGAAGGATTTAACATATTAACCGCTAGTATCTAGTCATTCCCACATTTATTCATGTGTATAGACAAGGAAATTTGGCATCTCTTTATGGGACCAGCTCCTTGGTAAACCCTTAGTTGCCTAGTGAAGAAAATAAGGTTAAATTAAGTGTTTGACGGAACAACATTTTCCAGAAATTAAGTGTTTGACGGAAAGAAAGGACTGATGTTGATACTTTGAACAATTTCATCAAACAAAATGTTTTTTTAGTTTTTATCTTTTTAGCGCATAGTGAAGAAAATAAGATTAAATTAAGTGTTTGACGGAACAACATTTTCCAAAAATTACGTGTTTGATGGAAAGAAATTGGCAGGACTGATGTTGATACTTTAAACAATTTCATCAAACAAAATGTTTTTCTAGTTTTTATCTTTTTAGCTCACCCCAAAAAGAAGCAAAGCACTATTTGTTCGCCCTACTCGATTTTTGGTAAACATATCTCACAAATTATTATAACACCTGTATAAAATTTACCGCATGACCATACTATCGTAGTATTCTATAATCTCCTTGAGAACCCCAAATACGAACAAGGATTCTTGTCCTAAAACTTTATTAGTCTTCCTTTTTCAGATTCTAGTTCTAGTGATTGAATCCAAGATGATCATTTTCTTAACAATTTTTTGTTTTTTTGAAAAAGGGAGAAAAAGGAACAAATAACTGAAAACCCAATTCGTCATTAAAAAAACTTTCAGAAACAGAAAAAGAAAGGAAAGAAGTGAACATTGAAATGAGATTGAACAAAATGTCTTTATCCTTCGATTGTTTTTAGCACTTGTATGACGATTTTGGGATACAAAGGATGAATCCACACACATAGATGCAAACATGGTGCAGCAGCAGCAGCTTGATCAAAAGATGAATCCACACACAGCCTTGTTACACAGCAGAGGCCTCCTCTAGGCAAGATTTAGATTTATTTTCTTTTTAAGGACTCATAATTTCATAGTAATTACAGTCACTAAATTAAGACGTCTGCATTCTGCAAAGTCTTCATCTTCTTGAGCTCTTGATGGTCTGCAGTAGAATAGCTCCATTCTGGAATTTAGTGTTGTCAAGTTGGGCCTTAGAGTGCTGGCTATAGACAATCAGCCTCTGTGCCATCTTGGGTTGCAATTAGCAGAGTTTGTACTGATGGGTCATGTTACTTTTTAGGGATAGTTTAGTAGCATCTTCTAAGAAAATTGACATGTAATTGCAAAAAAGAAACCAACCATGATCTTAGTTGGGGTAGAAACTAGAAATCCATGTCGTCGTAATTTGTAATTTGCGTGGCCAGTTGTTTGCTCCGTGAAATTTGATCTGAATTTCAATTAGTCTTTATTTTTTTACATAATTGTTTTATGATTAAGTCCTGCATCTAAACTGAGTCTGCAATTTAAAAATATAAGAATAAATTTTGCTAATCAATAGGATAGTCTGCAATTTACTTATCAGTCTGTAGAAAAGTACGTGAAGACAAATTGCTACTCAAAGCCAGTTTACTAACCAGTTAACCACTCAATTGGCCTCAAAAACTCTGGGTGCTGTGACTGCTGTCTAATTAAGTGCAAGGCTCACTCAACTTATGGAACTGAAAAATGAGTCCGGATTTGGAGGGGCTGGTACTTCTACTGTCCCTTCCAGCATCAGTACCACCTTCTTCATCGACGGGCGCAATGATGGCTCATCTTGGATGCACCAAAGTCCTATCTTGATCATCCTCCCAAGTTTAGTCTTGTCCACTTCTTCATCCTGCACTAGCTTATGCAGTTCGTCGGCCTCCAAACAATGGTACACCCAGTTCTCAAGAACTACTTGATCCTCAGGAATGTCCATATTCACACTTCTTCTACAACATATGATCTCCAACAACACAACCCCAAAGCTATATACATCTGCTTTCACTGTTATCGGCATGTTTCTATGCCACTCCGGTGCAACATACCCCCGGGTTCCTCTGAACCCAGTATGTGTCCTGGTTTGCTCAGATTTGAGCAGCTTGGCCAATCCAAAATCCGCAAGTTTTGCGCATTTTTGCTCACTCATTAGTATATTTTCAGGTTTGATGTCACAGTGGATGATCTGAGTCTCACACTCTTCATGTAGATAAAGTATGCCTTGAGCTACATTGAGAACTATACCCGTTCTTTCCTCCCAAGCTGGCCTTCCATCAGATCTGAAAAGGAAATCTGCAAGTGAGCCATTAGTCATGTACTCATAAACTAAAAGCCTGTTTGATCCATCATGACAGTAGCCAAGCAATTTAACCAGATTTTTGTGATGGGTCCTCCCAATTACATTCATCTCATTTTGAAATTCTCGCTCTCCTTCACCCACCACTTTCTCTAGTTTCTTGATCGCCACTACTCTCCGGCCATTTGATATGACCCCTTTATAAACTGTCCCAAAAGCTCCTCTGCCCACTTCATCAGTGAAACCTTTGGTTGCCTTTTCAAGCTCAACATATGTATATGATCGCAGAGTGACATCTTCAACGAACCCGCCATTTGCTGAATACAGAACCTTTTTGTACCCCAAAACACGATATCTGTAAATAACAACACCAGTAATTGCTAGAATAATAAGTGCAAAAGTTAACATTGCAACACTGCTAATAAAGATGTCTGTTTGAAGTTGTTTGTTTCTTCCCTTGCTCACAGTTTTTGTCCCTGAACTCTCAATGCCAATTTTGACTAGGGTTGAAGCAGTTTCATCAGTTCTTCCATATCTTAGCGGAAACTTCTGTTTTCTGCACGTCGTGTCCTTATGTACTGCAACTTCACAGTCACAATCTCTCAAGCAATCCTCTTTACAAGCAGTCTCATTCAATGTGAGAACGGAATATGGGTTGTCTTCCCATTCAAGGCCATCAATATCAGTCATGGAATATCTAGTTTCAATCTTGTTCGCGCAATCAACGGTACTGAAGTTCCTCCTGCAACCTAAATCCTTTTGGTCTTGATCAATGAAAACAAAACCGGGAAGACATAAACAAGGGGGATCCTCCTCTATGGGAACACAATATGCATTTAAGCCACAGAGGCCCAGAGGAGCACACTTATCAGAAGGTGATGAATACTCAATTGACCATGAATCATTCGGAGCCGAACTATGGGAAAACAACCGAAGTATTCCATCAGAGTCAATCGTTAGACGGTATGCACGGTTTTCAGACAGCTGCGTCTGATTAGTAATATTCTTTATATAGAAACCAGTGGAATTGAGAAGATATAGCTGTCCATTGTGATCAAGGTTCAGAGACACACTGTCTCCAGCTGTATATGTCTCAGTATTCCAGTAAGCATACTGACGTGTTGTTGAAATTGGATTCACTGGGTACTGCACCAGGTTCCCATCATGCTGCATGGAAAGTTGAAACCTTCCCGTGGCGTGATTCGTGGCAGAGATGCTAGAGACAAGATTTCTCCCAGCCAACAGACGCTGACCAGATAAGATGGTATCCGTTGGAGCATCAAAACTCTGCCAAATGATCTTTGCATTTGAGTTGTAGAGGACAAAGTTACCAGAATCAAGCATGGAAGCCCATGCAACAGGCTCAGTAATATTTGAAATAGGTGGTGATAAGCCTTGCTTATCTTGTAAGATGACCTTAATTCCTTCATCACTCAAAAGCAATTGAACATCATTGGAGCGTGGCAGCTTAACATCCCGGTTTGCTGTCCATATGATTGTTCGTGGTTGGATTTTCTCAAACCATATGCCTATGGCCAAGTCATTGCCTTCTCTGTAGAAGCCGAAGGCAAACTGGCCCGAATTCGATAACCATTGTGAGTTATTGGGATAGAGAGAAGAGCCTAAGCTAATGTTGGAAGTTCGTGGTTGAGCGGCTGCAAAAATAGAGAATATAGTAAATGGAAGAAGAAATATCAAAGTTGCAGACATTGGTTGAAGTTTTTTCTTGTTCTTTGGAGAGGCTTATTTTTCTCATATAATTTTAATCTGCAAGATAGCACAGTATGTATGTTGTATTTATCAACTTCAAGGCCTCAATCAAAGGAAGTGAGAAACATTTCCATTCCACCAAGTCAAAATTCCAAGTCTTTTAACTTAAAGTCTCCAAAGAGAGTGGAAACCAGAAATTGGTTTCTGTTTCCCAAGAAGAAAAATGTCTTTGGTGATGGTTGACTCTGGACCGTGAGATTCAACTTCAACTTCAATTTGTTTTAGTTTTCTAAGTAAGACGAAAATAAGGTCAAACTTGTTGAACAAAGGGTGCCGTGCTGTTGATTTCTGTTGAACAATTCAAAACCTGTAATGGTCGTATTTTGTTTACCATGATTGCTGGTGTTTGAAATTTGGGTCCTGCTACGTGTACCTAATTCTTCCACCATTGAAACAACATTTTCCAGAAATCAAGTTTGTGACGGAAAGAAAT